ACCAGGCCGTGGCAGCCGAACGAGCTTTGGCATTCTCCGGAATGTTCCACCAGCCTACAGCGGTGCTGGGCCACCATGCCCAGTATCCCTGGCCAGCCAAGAAGGCTGGGGAAGCTGAGCTGGATGGCTAATAGAGTGGTGCAGGCAGGGAAAGCGGAAAACACAGGCGAGGGGCAGCCCGGCCTAGCGGTCGGTGCCCTGGTGACCTCCCAGTTAGGTGACCAGGACCTGGGACTCTCCTTGCGCCTGGTGCGGAAGCCAAGCCGCAGCAAGCGCAAAATGCAGCAGCTCAGGTGCTCAAGCTCACCTTGGCCACCTGTACGGAAGACCCCTCCCAGCTACAGAGCCACCTCCGAGGTTTATTTTTACGTAAATGTTTGTGTCTGCAGGTGTCTCCCCGGGGCCCCCACCGTGTCAGAGGAGTTTCGATGCAGGCAGCACGAAGCTTTCAGGTGATGAAGTGGCACAGAAGGAGGGCAAGAAACTGGCGCATCCAAAACCGAGCAGAAGGGGAGCTGAGGCAGCGATGCCTGTGGCAGGTGGGGGGGGGGATACGTGAGTCGGCCTAGTTCCGTTTCCTGGCTGGATTTCACCGTGTTTCTCTCCCTCCCTCTAGACCAAAAGTCACCCAGGGCCGGTGGCCTGCCCATCATTCTCTCAGTTTCGCCTCCGGGGAACAAGGAGCTGTAAAGTGAGCCCAGAGCGCTGGAAGGATGGCAGGGCGGAGTGCTCCCGGGCATGTCATGCCGCCCGGCCGGGGGGGGGGGTGGCACTTCCCGGGCCTGGATCCGTGCCCAGGGTGTGGCAGGAACCCGTGGCCTTATACGGCACGGCTGGATGCGGAAGCTGCTCCTCCACCGGCCGCATGCGCCGCGAGGACTGCCCTGCGATGGGAGCCTGGGTGTGATTGCGGGAGGGGGCCGTTTGCGCGTGCGCCTGTTCAAAGCAAGGCCCTTTCTGCTTGCGGGGGTGATGTTCTTGCAGTTCACATGCAGGTGGGACCGGAAGCCCCTGGGCTCCCCGGACTGCAGTATAGTTTAAATGCTTTGGAGCAAATAAGGGCAACTCTGAACATGTGCAGAGTGCTCCCTCATCAGCACTTGACCCAGGGCCTGGTTTTGCCATCCGGTGACTCAGCACTGGATGATACGGGATGAGAATAGACACACGGGCCGCTTGGGGCCCGGCCTGCGGATCACCCGTCCGGTCCTGTGCCCAGCTGACGTGATGACGTAGAACCATGACTCATGGCCTGACTGCACAGATTGTGCACAACACTTTCATGTGGTTCTCGTGCAAGGGAAAATGGGACTGTTCAGATTTCAAATCAAAAAGTGCAAGTATAAACAAACCAGGGAAACATACTCCACGCATGCCCAGATATATTATTATTATTATTATTATTATTATTATTATTATTATTAACATTTCTATGCCGCCCCTTGCCGAAACCTCGGGGCGGCTTACAACATGATAAAATACATTGAAATACAATAGTACATAATAAATTACCATTAAATACAAAAATACAAAAAATACATTGATTTACAAATATAAAATTAAAATTATCAGTATAAAATAAAAATATAGGATGAGAAAGAGAAGGAAGAAGAAGTTGCCCAGGCCAGATCATATGTTTTAACAATTGAAATGATGTTTAAATAAAAAGGTCTTTACCTGGCGCCGAAAAACCAGTAACGACGGTGCCAGGCGGACCTCTTTGGGGAGTGAATTCCATAGGTTGGGCGCCACCGCAGAGAAAGCCCTCCTCCGGGTACTTACTCTCCTAATTTCTTTCATGGAGGGTTCCCGGAGAAGGGACTCTCCTGCAGATCTCAAAGGGCGGTCGGGCATATACGGACGTAAGCGCTCCTTCATGTAGCCAGGACCCAAGCCGTTTAGGGCTTTATAGGTCATAATCAACACCTTGAATTGGGCCCAGGCTTCAATGGGAAGCCAGTGAAGCTGACGGAGGACTGGAGTCATGTGAGCATAACGCCCCATCCCCGTCAGCAACCTGGCAGCTCTATTTTGCACCAATTGAAGTGTTCGGACTGTCTTCAGGGGAAGCCCCACATAAAGCGCGTTACAGAAGTCTAGGCGGGAAGATATCCTCTTTCCTGCCAGACTTTACACTCATTTCCAGTACTGAGCACAGGCGTGAACTTGGCAAGGTTTAACCTCTAAAAAAGACATTGTTCGGGGCTGCCTAATCCACCTTATTAGAAATGGAGAAGAGCACCGCTAGGTCAGGTCATCAGGCAGAGTACGCTGTCTCCAACAGGGGACAGCCGAGTAGCCCTGCAAAGCCTGCAGAGACAGTGGGAAAAGGAGAATTTCCCTCGTCATGCTAAACCAGGGGGGTGGTTGAAAGTTGTTGAGTGGCGGGAGATTCGGGGCACTCAAGGACCACCTGCTCGCACAGGTCCCGATGCTGCTGCCGCCGACGTGGAAGGCTTTAAGGGGGCTCCGACCGACCGGTTCAGGGAGGAGCGGGGGGGGGCACGCTCATCGCTCTTCATGGCTGCACCGCGCCCCCAGGAGGTATGGCTGGGAGGGCGGGTGGGCGCTCGGCTTCCCTGTGGGTGGCCCCAGTGCCAGGAGGGAAGGAGTCGGAAGCCTCTGCCCCGCTGCTCCTCCGTTTATTTTCCCACGGCTTTTCCCGGTGGGCACTCCAGTTGCGCTGCTGCAGAAGGGAGGTTCGGCTGGACCCCTGCGCCACCCCGAGCACCTGCGCCACTTCCGCCTTCGAGTGGCCCGCAGCACCCACTGGGCATTCCTGGGGCGACGCAGGGGCCGTGCATCCCAGCGCAGTCGCCTAGCCCTCCCCAACACGGGGCGTGAGGAGGCATGGGGCTGCGGCCGGCAAGGATGATGGGAATGGTGGGGCAGCTTGGGAAGGGCAGCGCAAGGCATCCGCCCGGTGGCGTGGGTGCCAGGTTGCTTTTGCATCCCACGACCGTGGCACATGGTGAGCGAGGCTGGGCCTGGCTACGTACTGGAAGTGCAAGGGAAATCGGTATCAGATCTGCAGACAATACAGAACCGGGTGGAAGAGCAAACAACCTAAAAGACGGAAGGAAGATCCAGGGAGATCTTGATGAGCTTGAACGCTGGGCTGAAAGCAACTGAACGAGATTCAGTAGGGACAAGTGCCAAGTCCTCCACCCAGGAAAGAGAAAGCAAAGGCATCAATACAAGATGGGGAGTACGTAGCTCAACAATACCGAAAAGGAAAAAAGTCTTGGAGTTATCATGGACAACCGGCTAGATATGAGCCAACAATGCAGCCACCAAAAGGGCAAAGGCTATATTTTATTATTTATTTATTTATTAAAACATTTTTATGCCGCCCCATTCGCCGAAGCCTCGGGGCGGCTTACAAACAATATATAGGGAAGTATTTATAGAATTATTACTTTTAAATCATGAGAAGTAGTAGTTCCCCCATACTCTTCACTAGTCAGACCTCACCTGGAATACTGTGTCCAGTTCTGGGCACCAAGATTTCAGAAAGATGCAGAAAAATTAGAAAGGGTCCAGCGGAGGTCAACAAAATTGACCCAGGATTTGGAAGCACTGCCCTGTGAGGAGAGACGGAGAGAACTGGGCATGTTCGGCCCTGAGGAGAGAAGACTGAGGGGGGACACGGTACCCCTCTAGAAGGACCTCAAAGGCTGCCACAGAGAGGAAGGCCAAGATCTCTTCTTGCTGCTGCCAGAGGGTAGGACGCGGAATAACCAGGCCAAGTTACGACAACCCAGATTCAGGCTGGGCGTCAGGAAGAGCTTCCTCAGTGTCAGAGCAACATGACAGTGGAGCCAGCTGCCTGGAGGGGTGGGGGGCTCTCCCACACCGGGGACCGGACAGCCTTCTGAGTGGGGTGGTAAAAATTGGTGCCCTGAACCAGCAGGGGGTTGGGGCCCGGTGGCTCTCTTGGCCCCTTCCAGCTCTACTGCTCTGATTCTACAAGGGGCCGATCGATCGCACATGGCGCATTTCCATAAACTGACTTCCTTTTTAGGGAAAGCACAGAAAAGGTGACATTTACCGAACCAGAGATGTTTTAGAGTGGGGAGGGCAGAACTCAGAGTGCATTTCCCCTTTTCCTTGCTTACATGCCCCCGCTGCCGGGGCACGGTGGGAGTGGACAGACCTCTTGTCTAAACGGACCTTGGATGGGATTTTGCTCTAACTCTTGCGCGCCTCAGGTCATGCCCTGAATTTTGCCCCGGGGCACATCCTGCCTGTCTCAGGACCTCCCCAAATGGCCGCACCCCCCATCAAGAGGCCCACATCACTCTTCCCACAGTTTCCCAAGGTCAGGCACCAGCACAGAGTACCTCCAGCCACAATAAACTTGTGTCTTTGGCGCAGTGCTTGAGGGCCATTCCTTAATTCCGCCGGGCACAACCAGGTGCCCCTTTAGACTAGGGGGAAGCCCTGCAACTTCCTGGCACGGCTTGCCGGGACTTGTGGGGCCCGAATTTCTGTCTAAACAGGCATGGGGCTGAGACCCTTTACCCTTTCTCTGCCACGGGACAGCCGAAGTGCTCTGGGCAGTTTCCAAAGAGTCAAGCGGGGGGCGGGGGGACAAATACCAAGCGAAAAACCGTTTACGGAGAGGCACATGGTCTCAGAAAGGATTCAAACGAGTCGGTCAGCGCATGCGGCCTTTTGCAAAAGTCTCTTCCTGGATGGTGTTTGTGGCACTGCCGGGAAGGCCCACGGAAGCTTCACCTTCAGGATTTCTGCCTGTAATTCAGGGCAACACGCGGAAAAGGAAGGAAGGGAAGGCGAAAAGGGGGCACGGGGAGGATGGGGCAGCGGCTGAAAGCCCCTCCCCGGGAAGCCAGAGTAGCCTTGGATGTCAGTTTCTGTTGACACGCTCCCTCCCACTCCAGGCCCTGATGTCACGCTCCCTTCCCCCTCCGGGCTAGCGCATAAATACAGGTGCACTCACCTGGCGCGCAGGTACACTTCCTCCGGCGCTCCCGCTCCATGGCCAACTCGGGCTTGCAGCTGCTGGGCTTCGCCCTGGCCCTGCTGGGCTGGTTTGCCACCATCGTGGCCACCTTCCTGCCCCAGTGGCAGGTGTCGTCGTACGCCACCGGCAGCATCATCACGGCCCAGGCCATCTACCGCGGCCTCTGGATGGACTGCGCGTGGCAGAGCACCGGGCAGATCCAGTGCAAGGTCTACGACACCATCCTGGGCCTCTCCCGTGAGTGCGGCCGGGCCTCGGGCCAGGGGGCGCCGTGGGGCAGCGGCGGGCGGAGCGAGGGGGGCCCTCGAGAGGCGCGGGGCAGGGCCGGGGGCTGCGGAAGCGGGGGGGCGTGGGGCGCACGGGGGGCTGCGGGACAGGCGGGGCCGGGGGCTGCGGGGCGAGCGCCCTCGCAGGGGCGGCGGCGGCGGCGAAGGTCACGGGGCGGCGGGCCGGGGGGAGCTTTGGCGGGCGGGGGCCGCCCCGGCAGGAGGGCGGCGGCGGAGCTCGAGGGGCTTCCCGGGGTCGGAGGGGCGGCCGCGGGCGAAGCCGGAGGCAACCGGGCCGGGAAAGGGCGCCCCGCTCGGCCGCCCGCCCGCCCTTTGCCCCGCGGCTGCTGCTGCTGCGCCGCGGCTCCTCGGCGGCCCTTCCCGGAGCGCGTCCTCGGGCCGCGCCCTGGAGCGCTGCGCCCTCGGCGGCGACTCGGAGGGGCTGGAAGGGGCCCTGCGCCCCGAGCAGCGCCCCCCCCCCCCGCGGTCCGCTGCGTGCTCGGCGGTGTGTTGGAAAGGATCGGGGCCGGTGAAACGTGTGTGCTGGAGAGGAGGCATTTCCAGAATCTTTGGGCACAACCCCCTTTTCGGATTAAGGTGCGCGTTCGGAGGGGAAAAAGGGTTGCGACAACCAGCGTTCCCCGGCCAGCCTTTAAAAAAACCAGTTTTTAAAAAATGTACAGACAGGGAAGCAGGAGGGGGTTCAAGGGGTGTTTGCCCTCTGATTCTCACCCGGAAGCCTCTTTCTCCCTCCCAGTTTAAAAAGAAAGCTGACTTAGTGCGGGTTGATTGTGGTTCCTCAGTGAAAGAAAACACTTCAGGCATGCTCAGAGGGTCGCTTCTGGGCTTATCTGAATTCAACCTCATTGCTGTCCTTAACTTTTAATAATCGCAGTAAACTTGTTGGAAGGAGCGGCGCTTTGCGGGGTGTGGTGGAGTGTCGAGGAATTAGCGATGGGTCAGGAAACTGACAAAGATGAAAGGAAAAACAGGAAGGCCGAGGTTGAGCAAGCATCGAAAGCTGAATTTCCTGGCCCCCCCCCCCCCGTGTTCCTCAGGTGCATTGGACCACAGCTCCCATCATGTCCAGCCAGCACGCTGGGAAAGGCTGCTGGGAGTCACTTGTAGAAGTCCGTTTTTGTTTTCGCAGCCTGAGTAAACCTTGCTATCTCTCTGCACCCCGAAGGGGCTTTTCCGAGGAAGGCTTAGCTCAGTCTGCCTAAATCCGCGCGGCTTGACGCGGCCTTAAATGGGGATTTGTGGGGTTTGGAAGGCAAAACAAGGGAAGCCAAAAGCACACTCTGTTTCAACCGCGGCGCTGCCCCTCCTTCCCCAAACAGGAGGAGGGTGGGGAGGGCAGCCGGCGCTCTTCCCCAATCTTCAAATATTGCGTGTGGGGAGGGAGTTGGGGGGGGGGGCTAGGAACCCCCTGCCCTGACTCTCCCTTTTTCTCCCCCTGTGATCTCCTTTGCTGCAGGTGTCAGAATTTTCTTTTCTTTTAAAAGCCCCCCCCCGCCCCTCCCCATCTTTCCTTGGCTTTTTCTCTTAGTTCCTTTTGCAGGTTTCCCTTCCTGCAACCAACCCGGCAGGTTGGGTCAGTTCCTTTGGTCTTTCCCTCCTCCCTTCTCAGGCCCCACCCTCGGGCAAGCATGACAAAGGACTTTGCTGATGGATTTCCCCCTTTGTCACCCCTGGTTACCTGGGGCCCTCCCAGGCGGCTGGCTTTCTGAAGAGGAAGGCCAGAGAGAGACTGGGAGAAGCTGGAGGTGGCATTCAGTGTCTTATCAGCAGAGCCACACAGGTCTCTGCCTCCAAGGCGGCTCCAATTAGAAGAGCCTGTGGGGGAGAACAGAAGGACTACCTGAAGTCCTTGCCTTCCAGCGCCATGACTCTCCTCACATCACGGCAAAAAATTCAAGCTCAGAGTCATACTATTAATAAGCAGTAATTGAAGCGTCTAACCGGCTTGGGCCACAGAAATACCTCCTGGGGCCCAGCAGCTGATGTCAGAGAAAGGATCCTGGTGGGGCGGGGGCGAGGAGTGCTGAAGGAGGAAAGACTCTTGCCTGATGGTGGTGGTGAAATCCCGCATCATTTCCAGTGCAATCGCCGCCTCAGCCCTGGCCTGGGAACGTGTTCCGGCTTCCGAGCAAAACAGAGTTGCCTCCATGGCTCCCAGGCTCAGTTTTGTCCTGCTTCCTATTTCTCTTACACACCAACTTAAGGACCGTAACTCCACGACTTCCCCTGCTTGTGAGAGCTGCTTTGCTCCCTCCATAAAAATGAGGGGGGGTTGCTTTCTTTTCAGGACTGGGCACAAAAGCCCTCGACCCAGCCACGGGCCGTCTTCCACGTCCTTTGAGGCTTTTCTGAAGGTAGACGTTCGGCTGACAGGCCCTTTCCCGCCGCCCAACCCTTTAGTTTTTGCTCTGTTCCTTTCCAACGGCTCCGAGGGGTCCTCTGGAGAGGGTCTTCCCCGCCTCAGAAGAGTTGGAGCAGGCAGGCTGGGCAAGCCTGAAACGAGGGCTGCCAGAGGAGTTTTGAGCCTGGATAGACGTCGCTGCTTTGCTTTCTTACGTGTGGGTCTCCCCTCGCCTGGGTTTTTCCTGCCAGGGCCGGGAAAGGGATGCTTTGGCTCTCTCTGCACACCCGGAAACCATGGCCTGCTGCTGTTTATAAAACCGAGGCGAGGCTACAAAGGTGCGTGATAACTTATCGGGCCTCGGTATTTGAGAAAACAATCTGGCCTTGCCGGTGGCCTAGAGCAACCGCAGGGGTCATGGGGAGCAGAGCTCAGAGTTAAGCTTCACCGTTGGCTCTGCGTTGGTCCCCTGGTGGGGGTTTTGCTTTTCCCAGACCTTGTTGCATGGAGGTGGTATTCCGGCTTCTCTGGAAAAGGAAGAGAAGACGGTGTTGTCCAGGGGTTGCTTGTGTTGCCGCGGATTATCATGTTTTCTGAACCCGGCCAGGATAACAAGCCATGATGAACCATCGGATCACGATCCAGCAACAAACCAGGGCTTCTCTTCCGTTGCTTGTGGCTCGCTACTGGATTCAGACAGTCCGATTACCCGTGATATCAAACAGGGTGTTGTTTCAATGGCGTTCAGCCACGGCCAGGGAAAAGCTGGACCGAGGCTTGGGGCCGGATGAATGAGGCCGAGTCTTGTGTTGTCTGAACACTGCACGAAATTAGATCGGGGCAGAGGGAGGCTGCGCATCCTGGCAGATCAGGGTGACGAGAGGGCAGCGGGTAGGCGTCTGAGTTCTGGCCCAGTCTGGGGGCTGGCAGGAGGGCAGCCGGCTGAAAAGGTTTGCTGAAATGAGTTCTGTCCTGCTGCCCAGAGGGATGAATGAGCAGGCCGGGCGCCTGGACTCCCCGAAGCAATGGAGGGAATTCCCTTCCCCTGTCAGGAGCCCCCTGCCCCCCTCCCGTCCCGGGCTGGGCCCCTCTGCCCACATCAGTTTCAGCGAAACTCCGCTGTTTGTTCCCGCGGGTTGGCTGGCGATGGCTGCCCGCCCGCACTCAGCACACCTGTCCTGGGGGAAGGCTGATGTCACTTCAACACCCTGTGGGGAGGGGGGGAGGGAGGGAGGGAGGGGGTGGTGCTTTTCGATCAGCCATGACACCAGCTTTGCTCTGAAGGGACGCCCATTTCAAGGCACCACGATCAGAGCCTTCCTTCCTTCCTTCCCATCGCGGTGCCTGGGGTGGGCCCAAAGCGGCTCTCCGCTTGGTTGTTTCAAAAAGCAGGCGGCAGCAACGGTCTTTCTGCTCCTGCCCTTCACCTCTTGGGGGCGGCGGGGGGGGGGGTCATACCTTTTTCCACAGGACATGTCAGTGCAAGGGAAAGACCCCAGAATTCCTCCTGTAGTTCAGTCCTCCCCAACCGGGTGCCCTCCAGGTGGGTTGGAGAACAGCTCCCATCACTCCCAGCCAGCAGGGTCTTTGCCACACCTGGAGGGCAGCCAGATGGGATTGGCTCCTGTGACCCTTCCTTTAAGGCGTTTAGACACAAAAGGTGCCAGGAATTGGGCCGGCGCTGGTTTTACGATGGCCGACGAGTCCCAGGCGTGGCTCCCGCAGACATGCTGGGAAGGGGCACTCTCAGGAACGCGATGCTGCCCTCCGGAGCCCCCCGGGCCGGCTCTTGGGGGTCTCTCCAGCACTGCACTGGAAGGGCAGCCTCCTCCCCTCCCCGGGGGCACAGCCGGACTGTGGGGACCCCCGTGCGTTTCTCCAAAGACTCACTGCCCTCCCTGGCGCCAGCCCCCCGTGCCAGCTGCCCCACGTCCATGGGGAGGGTGCCGCCCTGGATGGAAGGAGCCAACAGTTCATTCCTGGAGGGCGTCTTCCAATATTTATTTCATCCTGTGTATTTAATTTAATATCTGGGTGATCTAGGACTGACTTTGAACAGTGTTTGGAAGCTGAAGGGAGGCTTTTGATTGTTCGGTTTGTAAATGTGTAAACTCCTTTCTAGCGGTTTAAGCAGGCAGGGACTGTGGTTAACCTCCTGCCCCGACTGGGTTGGGCCCCTCTCCCAGGGACTCTGGGGACTGCCCTTTCCCCAAACTTGTGCCCTTCAGACCTGCCTGGACTACAAAGCCAGCCATCCCCAGACTGGCTGGGAAGGGAGAAAAGAGATTGCAGTGCAGCGTATCTGGAGGGGCCAGCTTGGGAGAAGGCTGGATAGATTTGGGGGCAGCGCTGGCTGGCAGGGGGCAGGCGTCCCCCTCTGCTGTAGCTGCATTGCCCTGCCAACTTGTGCCCGAAGGGGGGGTTCCACAACAGGGCCAGATTTGGGGCCACATGGAAGAAGGTGTGGGGCGTAGGGAACCCTCCGTGACTGCCTGGGGTTCCTTCCTTGAGCTGAAAAGACCTCAGGAGCCCTGGAGCTTGGGATTCGCTTTCACGAGAGCCCCTTCTCTCCCGGGATCTCTTCTCCCTCACTTAGAGGCAGGCGCTGCCCTGGAGTCCCCAACCATGTTGCGAATCCAGAAAGAGTTAAGTCAGGTGTGGCTTTATTGCTCCCCTGCTAACAAACCCTTTAGACTTTGCATTTTACCTGGCTGCGCCTCGGCACTGGGCCAGAGGTGGCAAGGCAGCAGTGCCTCCTGCCTCACTTTCCCCTTTCGCAGGGCATGGCTTCCATGCAGAACCCAAGCCCCGTTCCCTGAAAGGGTGCGTAGACTGGAGAGAAACTCCAGATGCTCCCAGGGCCCGGCTCAGCCTCTGTTCCTCCCCAGCCTGATGGGCTAGCCTTGCTCTCTGCTCCAGTCGGCACGACTGAGACTGACAGGGATGATGGGAGGCATAGTTTGGCACAACTGAACTGGGCAACAGGGGGGCCGCTGCCACCACCTTCATGGGAATTTCAGCGGGCTGCTGGGGCTGACCCTCGCATCCAAATCAGGCCCCGGCCTCTTGGAATGGCGTTCAGTGCGACGGTTTTGTCAAATCTTTGTGTACAACCAAAGGCGAAAGCCCAGCTTGATCAGTGCGTATATGGAGGGGTACATTTCGCATAATCACTGGCTGTGAGATGGAATGGAAAAGCAAATTTCAAAGGGTTCCGGAATGCCTGACTGAGTCGTGCTTGGAAAAGCAAAGGTCAAAACCCTTCGGGGGCACAGCTGTGCATCAGCGCACCTAGGGCTGCGCCTTCGTTGCTTCCGGGCGAAACCCCATACACGCCTTTTTAGAAATCCACTGATTTCAGGGGCTTTCCCCCCCAAAAAGTGGGGTAGGGTTGCAGCCTCAATTCACTAGCTAAATTTTGCAGTTGCCGTTTTTCCCTGGAGAACAGCTGGCTGCTCTGGAACTGCTCAGGCAGGTTTGAAACAGTTCCAGAGGGCAAATTTGCTCCCTGCGCACCCTTGCACCAAAAGGGGGGCTTCGGGGGAATGCCGTGTCAGACCGGGCTGGAGCTGTACTGGGCCCAGTGCTCGCCCCCCAGCAGGGCAGGGCAGAAAGCTTGCGTTTTCGTGCGCAGAAAGGGCGTATCGCTAAACACGGAGGGGCCATTTTAAAAAGAGGAAGTGGGATCGAGGGATTACTCTGCACGGATTAATCCCACTGCCACGTGAGCAGAGGTCGTGGTGGCGAAGGGTGTGCTTGTGGAAGTTTGCGTCTTGGGTGAGACTGGATGTCTCCGATCTCTTGCAACCTGCGTTTCTGGAGTTTCAAGGCAGTGATGAATGCCTATTTATTTTGCCCGCTCCGTTCATGCTTTCGATGAGCTCCCTTCCACCGTGCCCCGTTACCCCACCCAGTTCTTCGGGTACTTCCGTGCGGGGTGTTTACACTGGAATGCTCCCAGGTGACTCAGTGACCCTTTCCAAGGCATCTTCCTGAGGTCACTGGTCACCGCAGGCGCCTCCCCCTCCTCTGCACCCACCTCCTTGTCTGGCACCTCCATCTGGGGCAACAGGAGAGCTAACTTGGGGCTCGGGGAGAAGGGAAGAAATTAGCACAGCCTTGCAGGGTGTAGATTACTCATCTGTTACAATCAAACTATACAACATACAAGGAAAGGGTGTGGGTGGATGGAAAGGCCCAAGCCCAAGCCCTCTTCCTTGTGGCAGGTATTTAGGAACACCCTGTCTGGCAGGGCGAGCCGAGTCCCTCTTTCTCCGGCTAAAGTGTCGTCCTGGGTTTGGCTCCCCTCTTGCTTCGCACATCGTGCTGCTCCAGAACCGCCTTTGAGCCGGTTCGCCCCTTTTCACCTGTGCTTCTCAAAAACTCCTTCAATCTGTGTGCTTTCCCTCCAATGAAAGGTGTCTCAGCTCAGATTTAGCACTGGTGTTTCTAGGAAGCGAGCCCAGGACCAACCCGAGCCTTGTGGGTGTTCTCCTGGATTTTTCCCACACTAGAATAAACCTGAAATCTCTCAGCAGGGATTAGAGAAACGGAAAAGTCTGCACACGCAGCGGGGAGCTGAGCTCTGTGCAAGCAGTTGGGTTTTGACGCCCTCGGGCGGCCCTCCTCTTCCTCGCTGTGGCTCCCAGTGGCTTGGCGGGCCGGGGGCGAGGCGGCTTGGCATCTCTTGCTGTCCTGGGCCAGCAAGGATCAGTCAGCGCCAGCGGAGTGCGGAAGGGGAGTCGCAACTCCGGGGCTGGTGCCGGCGACCCCAGCAGGTCAGGGGCGCCTGGCGGATGCCCTGGCACGCTCACCCGGGGCACCACTCCTGGCTGGGTGCTCTGGGAGGGAAGCCGACGCCTGGAGCGGGACGGCGGCCGGGGGATTCGCGCAACGGAGGCCGGGGCTCGGGGCAGCACTGCATGGCGCTCGTTCCTGACTCAGCCCTGCTCTCTTTCCAGCCGCCCTACAAGCCACCCGGGCGCTGATGGTGGTCTCCATCGTTCTGGGGCTGATCGCCATGGGCATTGCTGTCATGGGGATGAAGTGCACCCGCTGCGGGCCCGAGGACAGGGTGCAGAAGGCGCGCATCGCCATGACGGGAGGGATCATCTTTCTGGTGGCAGGTGAGTCGGTCCCAAAGCCCACCTGTCCTGGAGCCCAGCGGGCCTGCAAGGCGGAAACGGGCTGGACACCCCGCGCCCCACAGCCTCCTCCGGGCTGGTGCTGGCCAGATGTGCGGACGCCACTGCCCTCGTAGCTGGGCGTGATGGGAGCTGCGGGCTAACACATACAGAGAGCCCCAGGCTGGGCTAGTGGCTCATGCTAAGCCGGGGAGGGGGAACAGCTGCCCCAGATGTGGCTGCAGGGCAATTCCCTTGCTTCTCTCCCGGCCTTCACCTTGCAAGGTGCCCAGGGGCGTGCGCCATCCTGTCTCCTCTCAGTTTTCACCTTACAACAGCCTTGCGAGGTGGGTCGGGCTGCAAGCAGGTGGCGAGGGAGCCGCACAGCCTCTAGACTGAGGCCGGGTCCCCTAAAACCCAGCCCAGCACTCAGCCGGGGCACCGCATTGGCTCGCGTTGCAAAGCCGGGGCGATCCCCCGGCAAGGATCCAGAACTTCTGAGCTCCGAAGTCGAACGTTTCCCCATGGCTGAAATTCACCCACAAAGAGAGCAAAGGGGAGGAGGAACCCCAGACACGCGAGGACTAAGGTGGGCTCCCCCTGTGCTGCAACCCCTCAGGTCTGGCCGCTCTCATCGCCTGCTCCTGGATAGCGAACCAGGTCGTCCGGGATTTCTACGGCACAGGCATGGCTGTAAACTCCAGGTAAGTGTGACGTTTGTGTGTGAATCCGCACTTGGGGATGGAGGGGAAGTGGGCAGGGCAGGAGGCAGGTTCTCTCATGGGCTCCAGAGTCCTCCATGGGAGCAGAGTTTTGCCTTGCCCCCGCAGCGAACCTCAGCTTTGAAGCCTCGAAGGTGCTTTCATGGTGGGACTTCCCACCGGAGGATTCCTTCCGAGGTCTGGACCTCTGCCACCCTAGAGAGCCCCACACAAGGCCCCCATGAGGGAGTCCAGTGTAACCCCCCCCCCCCCCCCCCGCCAGCTGCATTGATTTGCCGGTCTGTAGATGGAGAGGCAGCTGTCTGAGCACATTCTCCGCCTAAACTGGGGTGCAGGGCGTGTCATGTGAGGGCCAGCTATGGCCAGAGAGGTTCTGGGGCCTGCACCCCAGTGAGGGGTGCATCCAAAGGCAGAGGACAGGATCCCCCTCTTTGGCCGAAAGCTTCTTCCCCCCAGAAATGAACCCTTTGTAAACCCCAATATGGGAGAAGGCGAGCTGCTCTGCAGCCCGGTCACGGTTTCTCAGCCCAAAAGGCCTCTCACTCTCCTTCTGTTTCAGGTATGAATTTGGGCCAGCCCTTTTCCTTGGCTGGGCCGGCTCCTTGCTAGCGCTGCTTGGGGGAGGCCTCCTCTCGTGCTCCTGCCCAGAAAATGCGCGCCAGGGGTACAACAATCGCGCATACCCCGCCGGAAAACCCATCTCCGGACCCCCCAGTAACAAGGAGTACGTGTAATCTGGCCCGAAGCACCGGTTCCGTTCCGACACCCTCGCCTGGAATGCCCCCAAGCCGGTCGCACCCATCCTGGGGGTCCTGGACTCTCTGAAATGACTTCAGCACCACTTCGGCACCATCGGAGACGCTATTAGCGTTCTTCATTTCTTGCCGCCTTTTACATGATCCCGGTTTTTTTAATCTTGTAATTCTTCAGGCTGTCTTGTGTGCTTTTTTATAATGGGGGAAGCGTATTTTACTCAGGAGAAATTCGATGAATGATTAACCGATGTTTTGTCACACCCAATGCAGCGCTTTCTGGACGGACAGAAAGGCGGCGGATCTTAATTTTCTGTCCCGTGTTCTTGAGTTTTAGCTGTTGCCCTCCTGGTGGAACTAATCGCAGTTCACATTGTGCTCCGCCGCATATAAAATTGCGGCAGATCCAAAACACGGGCCCCCGTGGCCCCAAATATTCAAGAGCGAGTCATCCATTACAGTGAGTGGAACTCCAAATTCTGTAGTTGCGTTTCCTTGACTGTTTACTCATTTACCCACGGTGGGGCATTTTATGGCGGTGGGGGGAGGAATGCCAGAACTCCCCTCAGGGGCACAAATTTGGGGTGAACAGACATGAACGAGGCTATGACATGCTCATTTGGGGGACAAGTCCGGGGGGGGGGGCTTTCAGGGGTGGGGGGGGGAGATCCCACCTGAAGCTTTGGTGATGATTTATATACCTTTGCATTCTGCACCCTCCCAGAGCTGTTTTGGGGGTCACACACAGACAAAAGGCAGTCCCACCTGTGGCGGTTCTGGGGTGTACCTGAGGAGAGATGACAGGCCCCTTGTGATAAAAGACCCCCTTATCCAGGTGTGAAATTTCCCCAGGACATCCCCGTGCCTTCACCTCAAATCATGTTTAGATAACTTTTCTGTACGTCGTGGTATTTGCTTGCTTGATAGATTTTTAATCATACTATGTTTTCATTGCACGGGGAAGAGGATGTTGGAAAAGGATTTTCTGAAGGCTGGGCCAGGAAAAGAGGCATTCCCAAAGAGAACCTTGCCTTATTTAAAGCACAGCCAAACCCACAAGGGTTTCTGTGCACATGTGGATATTGTTTAATTGTCTGTATGTTGCTGGGAATTGATATTTTTTGTACATAATAAAGACTGTTTTGGACAAAAGCTAGACTTTGTGGATTTCTGTTTTGTGTTGGCGGAGGGAAGAAAATGAGTTACCAAATAGGTGGGAATCAAGTATATAGTTATTTTAATTGTTAATTTATTGATTGTATTTATTGGGTTTTTAGGTACGTGCTGAGATGTTTCTGGATTTTTAAGGCTAATTATGTAATTGTTTATGTTGTAAGCCGTCCCGAGGCTTTTTGCGAATGGGGCGGCATAGAAATTGTTTAAATAAATAAATATAGAAACATAGAAACAGAGCGAGTCAGAAGGGGTCTCCCAGGCCATCTAGTCTGACCTCCGGCACCAGCCGGCTCCGCTCACGACATGCCCACCATGTGGACGTCCAGCCTATCCTTGAACACCCGCACCGATGGGGCCTCAACCATCTCCCATGGAAGCCCATTCCACACCCTCGGGGTCCCGACTGTCAGGAACTGCTTCCTGGCATCCAAATGGAACCTCAGTTCCCTGAGCTTTGCTCTGTTGGCGCGCGTCCTGCCTTCCTCTGCCAGGGAGAACAGGTCTCTCCCCACCTCCGTGTGACACCCCCTCACACGCCTGTATGTCGCCAACAGATCCCCTCGGAGTCTCCTCTTCCCCAGGCTGAAGAGGCCCAGTTCCCCCAGTCTCGCCTCATAAGGCATCCCCTGCAATCCGGCCACCAACCTTGTGGCCCTTCGCTGCACTGACTCCAACCTGGCTATATCGTTTCTGTAAGGAGGGGCCCAAAACTGAGCACAATACTCCAGTTGTGGGAGCACCAGAGTCGCATAGAGTGGCAGCAACACCTCTCTCGATCTAGAAGCCACACTTCTGGCCATGCAGCCAAGGGTGGCGTTCACCCTCTGGCCACTGCGTCATACTCAGGTGAGCCCCGCCAGGTATGTGGGCAGCCGGGGGAACACGTGATGGTCGCCCTGCAAGGCCCTCATGCAGAAGGACGGGGCAGGAGGGGCCTGCAAGCCCGGGCACGGTGGCCGAGCTTGTCAAAGTGCCCCTCTGATCTCGGCAAGAGGAGACCCCGAGCTCCTAGGGTCTTTTCGGGCAGCCTCCCCCAGCCTGGTGCCCTGTACATGTGCTGGACTATGACTCCAGGCTGGGGATGAAGGGGGCTGCAATCCAAGGGCACCAAGCTGGGGGAGGCTGTTAGAGGGGGGTACATGCATGGAGGATGAGGAGGTCTATGGGTGGCCATTGGCCCCACTAGCTAAATAGAGCCTCCCTTTTCTGAGGCAGTCTACCTGGATGGATCCGATACCGGAGGTAAACAGGGGAGCTTGTTTCCTTCGAGCGCTGCGGTCAGACTTCCTGGGGGACATGTGGTTGCCCGCCAGAGGAAGCCAGAAGCCAGCTTAGATGGTTGCGCCATCTGTTCCGGCAGCAGGAGTGCTCCTGTGTACGCAGAAGCCAGGATGGGTGTGTCGTCCTCTACCAGAAGGGAGAGCAGGGAGGGAGGGAGGGAGGGAGGGGAGAGAAAGAGGCAGTTTCTTGACGAGCCAGGGGGCAGGGCCATCTCCTTCCTCCAGTCTCCACAGCTGGAGCGCCGCTGGCATGGAATAGCCGTGCAGCCCCATGGCTGCTGCTCCGACCGGGCTCCCTCCAGGTTTGCTGGACTACAGTGGCTATCATCCCCAGCCAGCACTGCCAGTGCTGGGGGCTGTAGTCCAGACAGGTTGGGGAAGACTGGTTTAAAAGGCGTGCCGCCATTTACATACGCTTCCATTGAGGCATGTCTTGAAATACCAGTAACTCCCTGCAGGTCCCTCTTCCGGGGTGTCCCCCACCCCGGAAACCTCTTGCCGTGACAGAGAAGGGAGAAAGGGGTGAACAGACCAGAGCTGAACTTCTACCTGGGGTGTCGGGGAGAGATGACGAAATGAAGACCGGCCTGATGAAAGCGGCTTTGTGACTTCGAGTTCGATAAGGCAGCTTTGAAATGCGGGGCCTGCAAAGCGAAATGCTCGGCTCCTGCCCACAAGGGCAGGTGGCCTTTTAAAGGAGGGGGTTCTCTGCTCAGGTGGGCAGCAGGTAAGGCGAAGGGAGGTGCCCCAGCCTGGTGCCCTCCAGAGGGACTTTAAAATAGATTATGACTACATTAAAACTTGGGACATCTATATCCTGGATGTCTTCCTTTTACAAAGAACCTAAGGTTCCTTGCATGGGCCTCTACCTTTCCATTTTATCCTCACAACAAGCCTGTGAGGTAGGACAGGCTGAGCAGTCCGGCCCTCTGACTAGCACACCAACTGATGGATGCCTGGGCTGGGGATGATGGGAGTTGTAGCCCAACAGCTCTGGCAGGCACCAGGCGTGGGAAGCCATATTTCAAGGTTAAAACCAACTGGGAGTAACCGCATGCATCACACCTGGCACGTCACCCCATCGTTGCTGGACTACAGTTCCCATCAACCCTGAACATTCACCATGCTGGCTGGGGCTGATGGGGATTGCCATCCCAACAGCATCCGGAGGAGTGCTGGCCGTCACCTTGCACTGCGTATTAAACCAATGTGCTTCCATCTATTTCATATGTTTTAGGGTTCTATGGCCTTCATGTATTTCTGATGTAAACCACAGAGATTTTCAGATATCAAGCGTAACAGAAGCAGGGGTGCAGAACAGCAAGTCTGGGAGCCCAGTGTGGCCCCCTAGGGCCCCAGCCCTCCCTCAGAGGGCCATGTCCCCTTCTCCAGCCCCTTCTCCCACCACCCGTCCTTGCTTGGCTCTCCGAGCTCCTCTGCAGGGTTTTCCACATTTTCAAAGGCTCGAACTGTTCTCCTGAGGGCCAGGAGGAAAGGAGCTTTAAGCTACATGTGCTGCTGTTCTGGGGTGCTTTGGCTGTACCCCAAAGGAGGTCCTGCACCCTTGTGCAAATGAACGGTGGCACGAGGGTTTCGGCTCCTGGGTTTGTTCCCTGCCAACACGTATGCTTTGCACTGACGGCAGTGTTGATGTTTTCCATAAAGGGAGCAGTTTGTAAGCACCCGAAACATTGTACGGTGAAGCCCGATGACCTCTCGATTCAACGTACGCCTTTTCCGTACCGCTTGGAGCACAACTGACTGCCGTAGCGGCTGAGAGCCAGGCTGGGACTCTGGTGGCTCATCCACGGCCAGTCAGAACGGGGGTCAAGGAACTGGGATTCAACCTGTGCCGGACGGGGTCCCCCGCCAAGACACAGCTTCCCGGCTCAGGTGTACTTCTGGATGCACCCCTGCACCTGGACACGCAGGTCATGGCTGGGGTGAGAGTGCGTTTGCACGGCCAAGACTAGTGCAGCAGCTGCGCCATGGGGGCGTGGGCCTTCGTCACACCCCATGGGGACGACTGTGACACGTGCTGTGTCGGGTCGCCTCGGAAGTGTGTCCGGAAACTTCAGCTGGCTCAGAGGACCGCTGGCAAACCCTCGAGCGTGGCTGCTGACAGAAAGCACGGGAGTCCTGTGCGGAAAGAGTGTTGGGGCACACCTTCTGGTTCCTGGCAAAATTCGAAGTGCTGCTGGTGACCCCGAAAGGCCGGCATGGCTGGGTCCAGGCTGGCCCTCTCCCCCTTGAGCCTGCCGGGACCCTGAGCCCTTCAGGGGAGGCCCTCTGGTGGGTCCCACCTCCCTCACAGGATGGAGGACCCGGTGGGGAGGGAGCCTTCTCGGTGGCCCTGGAATTCCCTGCCGAGAAGGCTGGGTTGGCGCTCTCTCTCTTGCTCTTTCCGCAGGAAGCAGACCCTGTTCCTTCCTGGCAGGCCTTGGGGAAGAATCTGAACTTCTAAGGCTGCCTTGGACTAGCTCTGCTGACGCGTTGTTTTTACCGCTGTAATTTTAACTGGGAATTTTGTAGCTTTTAACTAGCTGCTTCAATCCTATTTTTGACTTTGTGGATTAATGTTCATCGCATACGTTTTTCATGCCACGAGCCACCCTGATGCCCCGACCGGAATGGGCGCGACAGACGCACCTGCGCTCAGAGCCGCCCGCCGCCCGCTGCCCGCCCTGCAGGCGGCGCTGTGCGCCCGGCCTCTTCTGCGCCGCGCCGCGGGGCGCCGCCCCGTCCCGCCCCAGCCGTCCCCGGGGCCAAGGGGGATGGCCGCTCCGCCGGCGGGCGTCGCCGGCGGGCCCGCACTCCGCCCCGGGGCGGAGCGGGAGCCGCGGCCGGCAGCGCCTCCTTGTGCCGCCGCGCGCCGAGGGCTCCTCCTGTCCGTCCGCAGCTGCTCCGAAGTTTGGTCCAGGTGCCGCCGGCCGCCGCCGTTCCTGCGCCGTCGCTTCGGGGCGCCCCCACGACGCGCCGCTGCTGAGCCGGGGGCCGCCGGCAGGATGACCGTCAAGCTGGACTTCGAGGAGTGCCTGAAGGACTCGCCCCGCTTCAGGTGGGCCCGGCAGCCCCGTCCCCGCGCTCGCCGCGCGCCGTCCCCGCCGCGGGTTTTTACGCATCGCCCGCCGCGGCCGGTGCCAGGCGGCGGCAGGCGGCCCGTCCCGCCACGCGGCCGCAGCTGGTGCTCGGCGCCCCCCCCGCGCTCGCCTCCCCCGCGCTCGGCCCGCCGGGTTGCCTCGCGGCCCCTCCGCGTCGTGGACCGTGGGGACGGGGGACGAGCCTGCGGGTTCTGGAGGCGATGTGCGGCCCGGCCTGGAAATTAAGAAGGGGGGGTTCGTTATTTATGGAAGACGTTTATGTGCCGTCCTTTGCGAAAGCCTCGCCCGGGCTTTGCTCCTGGCAGAGGAAAGGAAGTGGGGCCTAGTGGTGGGACCAGGCGCGCGCAGGCCCAGGCGTTGGAAACCCGAGGGGCAGCCCGCGTCGGGCCTTGCGCGGCGGTGCTTTTGAGAGATGATGGAAGACATATGAGTTAATGGAGCAGCGTGTTCACGCCGTGAATCACTTGTTCCCCAAATCCTGGCCTTTCAGAGAAAACAAGCCGCGCAGCGCCAGGGAGGGCCAGATCCGCCTTTCCTTGAGGGCACTGCCCAAGGGGAGGGCGGCCCTGCCTTCCCCTTTGGGGAGTCCTGTGCTGGCTGAGAGCGGGAGGCGTTTGGGGCAGGGGGGGGAGGGCTGCACTCGGGGCAGTGGAGGCAAGAGGTGGCTGTATGGAGGGGTGGCTGGAGAGCAGCAGCGACTGTTCAGCAGCCCCCTCGCCTCTCTCTGCAGTGCAGGGTCTGGGCTTCACCCCGTGGTGAACTTTCCCTGTGAGCCAGACCCCGCTTGATCTGCTGGGACCTGTTGCTGAGCAGGCCAGCCCAGTTCCTGCCCCCCACCTGGGCCCTGCCTTTCTGCAAGGCTGTTGTGATCTTTCGGGGTACAGCGGGGTGGACTTGGGGGGGGGGTTAAGATGAGGAGGCCCTGCTTCCTTCCCAACCTGTGGCCGTCAGTAGCCTTGTTCCCCCGTCCAGCCGCCCACCTGCCCACGGGAGTTTCCGGGGGGTACCCTCGAAGCCTGTGTTCGTGCTGCAGACTTATGTGGCTGGGGCCGCGAGGACAGGAAGTGGTAATGGAACAAGGCTGAAGGTTCAAGGCAGGCGGGGGGGGGGGGGGCCCCGGGGCCCCCCGGGGGGCCCCCCCGGGGGGTGGCCGGGCGCCCCCCCCCCCCCCCCGTGCTGGAACGTGTGATGCATCGTTTCCGAGAGCTGCAGCTTTCTGCTTGCCAAATTTCTGCCACTTCTTTCCGAGGCTGGGGAGTCCAGGGGAAGGCTTTTAATCCTCCCGTCTCCCCCACCTTGGCCTCTTTGTTATTATTTATTATTATTATTATTATAACATTTCTATGCCGCCCCTTGCCGAAGCCTCGGGGCGGCTTACAACACAATAAGATACATTGAAATACAATAGAACATAATAAATTACCAATAAATACAAAAATACAAAAAATACACTGAGATACAATAATATAAAATTAAAATTAACAGTATAAAATAAGTAAATAAAGATTATAGGAGGAGGAAAGAGAAGGAAGAAGAAGTTGCCCTGGCCAGATCATATATTTTAACAATTAAAATGATGTTTGTGTATTGTGGAATCTGGCGAGTGTGTCTCTCTGGCGGCTTCCTCCCTACTTGTGGGTTTTTCTCCTGACTTCTGTGGTTTTGTGACACTTCCTTCCTTCCTGCTCTGAACAACTTCTCTCTTGCGCGCTCTTGACTGCGCTGCAGTCTCGGTTCGTTTTGGAGGATGTGCGTGGTGGGGCCATCTTGAATCGGTGGCAACGCTGTGTGGCACCGGCTGCTTGGAAAAGCCGGGGCCCAGGCGCATCTTCGGGAAGGAACGTCCTAGCACACGGCATAACAGCTCCGCATCTCCAGCGGTTTATCCAAACTGGCGGTTCCGGCACCTAGAGGAAGAGCCGGAGGAGGTGGCACCTGAGGGCTCCTCTGGGCAGCCGTATGCCCAGCCGCTTGTGGCGGCCACGTGTTCTCGCCATAGTGCGCCGGCGCTTCGGCACGTCACGGGTGACTTTGGAAGTGCTCCTCCTCCGGCTTGTGTGCATGGCAAGAAAGCCGCCAGCCCTGCAGCAGGAGGTTCCAGGCAGCAGACAGGAAGTGGCTGCATCGCTGCGAGAGGCAGGAAGCTGTCGGGAGACCGCAAGAGCGGCCTGGGGGAGGAGGGTGGGACGAGGGGGTTCGGCGACATCCTCTCCCTCTCCGCTGTGGGGTTCCTGGTTCGGCTGCACCGGCCTCCCCGCACCTGGCCGGGTGCCCTCCTGTGCATTAGGCAGCCACTCCCATCATCCCCAGCAGGTGCGGGAAGGTTGCCCTGTGCGTACCCACTTCAGTGAAGTCTTGGCTTCTGTTCCTGTGTGATGAAAGGGCTGGTCCTGCGTTGGAAAAAATATAGGCCGCAGGCCTCGCCACCCTTCATATTTCCCACAATGCCCTGGAGTGGTTCTAGGTCAGGGCATTATGGGTAATTGAGAGCGTGGTTAGACTGATCACTTGGTGCTCTTCTCGGTGCCAGGCCAGGCCCTGCAGAGTGGGCTTACGGATGCTCTGGGGGGGCTGCCGTCTCCCCCCGGCCATGACCTGGGGGAGACGCCAGCCCTCTTCCTCTGCCCTGCTCTGATTGTCCAGCTGCACATCCAGCAGGAACGGCCCTGCGGACCCAGGCAGAGCCGATCCTTCGTGAGTGCAGAGTTTCTACGCCTTGCATGAGCCCCAGCCAGCATAGCCAAGGGCCAGGGATAATGGGAACTGTAGTCTGAAGCATTTGGAGGGCACCGGGTTGTCTTATCACCAGTCTGGCATTTCGCGGGAGGTGATGGACTGGTTGCCCCCGCCTTCCAAACCTGCCGGCGTCCATCACTTCCAGGTGCTGGCGAAGGGCTGAGAGGAGGCTGTTTGCAGGCCACCCGGGAAGGGAGGCAGCGGGGACGGCTGCCCCGGTTGTGTGGGACTCCGTGGCTGAGGCGGTCCCTGAGCCCCGCAGCCTGTCTTGGAGCCCAGCACTTCCTCTGCCAAAACTCGGCCCCCGCTGAGCGCCACTGTTTACTTGCCCCCACCCTGTTCGACCCCCAGGGCTGCCGTTGAGACGGTGGAAACGGACGTGTCTGTGCTGGAGACGCAGTTGGAGAAGGTAAGGGGTGATTTGGGGCTGGGGGTTCCCCGGTGCCTTGCAGGCCAGTCGGCTCGCGGCGAGGCCTCGGGTCCTGTCGCTTGGGGGTCTGCTTGGAGGGTCCCCACAGGGCAGCGTGGAGAGCTCTGCAGAGCACCTTCGCTTGCCCGGAAAACATGCAATTCCTGGCGGAGGATCCCGGAGCCCTGGCAGGGGCAGGCGGGGAAAGAACGCTGGACAAAGATGTTTCTGGTGCGCTTTGGACCCTTTAGAGGTCCAGAGTGTCGTTGGACTCTTCTTTCACCACGAAGGGTGCAAAAGCTTCTTTGGGGAGCGCTGGAGGTGGGGCCTGCGATCCAAAATGCAAAGCGGGGGAGACTGCGGGGGGCAGGGGAGGCCCCGCACTTCTTCTTACCCTTTCCCCCCGAGAAATTAGAGCCGCTGCATGATTCTCCCCATCCCTTGAGCTTGCTTTCCAACAGCCCTGCGAGGCGGGCCTAGGCTGAGATCCGGGGTGGGGCAGCATTCGCGTTCCACCCTCTGCTCCACGTTTCACGTCAAGGCCCATCCATGAATTTGGCTGAATGGGCCGTGGGCTGGTCTCGCCATCCCTCAGCCTGACCTACCTTATGGGGGTGTTGTGAGGATAAGAAGGTGCAGAGACGTGGCACCCCATTCACCCCACCCTACGTTCCTTGGAGGGGGAGAGATTAATTAATTTGGAGCAGAGATGTTTAGGCAGAGCTACGAACAGGTGTGGGGGCTAAGAAGCTCCGCAGGACGGGGGTTTTGAGAAGAGTTTTGCAGCAGGTCGGGGGGGGCACAGCCATGCAGGTGTTTGGGGAGGCGCTCCCCGGTATATGGGGTGCCCCTCGCATTAGGAGCTGCGATGCAAGCTTCCTCGGCCGTTTGCCTCTGCTCCTCTCTCCTGCCTGACCACCCCTTGTCTCCGTCTCCGTCTCCGGCTCTGTCCGGCCGGCCAGCTGCTGAAGCTCTGCACCACCATGCTGGACTCGGGGCACCAGTACTGCACCCACAGCAAGAGCTTCCTGTCCGGCATCCAGGAGCTCTCCCAGAATTCGCCGGGCGACACCATGATGAGCGTGAGTTTTCCCCGGCAGGGATGGGGAATCTATGTTGTAAGCCGCCCCGAGGCTTCGGCGAATGGGGCGGCATAAAAATGTTTTAATAAATAAATAAATAAATAAATGGGGGGCCCGGGGGGTGGAGGCCATCTTCTTGGGTGCTGCAGAAAGGCTGCGGTCCGAGCCCTGGCTCTGAGCGCCCTTCCAGTCGGCCCGCCAGGGGAGCGACAGGTCCTGAAAGGCCGGTTTGGCCGTGGCCTGGAGGTCGTGCCGAGCAGACGCTGGCCCGGCGGACCGCCCTTTGGCCCGTGTGTCAGCTCGGCAGCCGCGACTTCTCCACGCAGCTGACCGGCCGCTGTCCTTAATAGTGCTCAGATGGCTGCTTTATTTGAGGACGGAAGCTGGGAGTGGAGCTTGCTTGAAGCCGTTTTCCTGCCCCGGGACTGTGTTTTTCAGGGCCTTGCTTGGCCCTCGTAAAAGAGAAGGCTTGGCCCTCGTGGTGGCGCCTCTGGGCTTGTGCGGGGCGCCTTCCAGAGTTTTCGGAGGACCTGAAAGGGGTGGTGGCGCAAGGCAGTCGGTGGGGCTGGAAGCGGGCGTGCGCGCGTTGCCCGGGGCTCTGGGTGCAGGGTTCGTGGCGTGGGCGCTTCCGCCATGTGCTCTGCCCTCCTGACCCGGCCGGGGGGCTGTTCGCTTCCCGGACCCGCTCCGTGGCACGTCAGCGAGGCTCTCGGTGGCGCTTCCTGCCGCACCTGGGCTCGGCCAGGGCCCACGAAAGCTCCTGCCAGAACGAACGGGTTGATCTGCAGGGTGCTGTGAGGAAACTCCCTGTGGCTTTTGCTGCTGTAGACTTGCACGACCACGACTCCCATCTCTACGGGCTGTGCAAGCTGAGGCTGATGGGAGTTCCAGGCAGCCCACATTTAGAGAGGCCCCCCCCCCACCTCGAACGGTAGGGTTTTGGGTGCTGGGATCTGCAAAGCAGGGTCCCGCCTTGGAGCAGAGCTTTGCTTCCAAGCTACGATTGAGGTCCCTTTTCTTCCAAGACGCTTGCAACATTGTCCGGGGTTCTGTTGCGTTGTCACAACACCCCTGTGAGGGGGGCTCGGGCTGAGAGAGAGAGAGAGAGAGAGTCCCCCAGAAGATGTGTTTGCACAGCTGGGCAAAGGTCTGTGGCACCTCTTGGTATCGACCGGGGCTGGGTGTGAGGCACGGAAGGGAGAGAAGAGAGATGCCGCGGCGGGCAAGCAGCTGCTAGGAATTGCGTGCCTCCCCGGTTATTCCGCCGCTGTGCTCCCCGCGTTTCCCAGCAATGCGCAGTGAGCAGTGGGAACTTTTTAAAAACAAGAGATCGAGAAACTTGATTTTTTAAAATATGCTCTGCTGTACAAGGCGTTGGTAAGTTGGGCTTTCGTCTGAAGCGTCTCCCTATTGCAGCTTGGGGGTTGGGAACCCCCAGACTCTGCCTCAGCTGATGGCGCCTTTTCTCCTCTTGCTTTCCAGGAGTGCCTAGAGAAATTTTCCTCGAGCTTGAACAAGATGATCGAGAAGCACGAGGTGAGCGGCACCCCCAGCCACCCTGCCAGCTCCCCACTCCCCCCCCCGTCCCCAGATGTGCACGGCTGCTCTGGGGTTCCCCAGGGGAGATGGAGGCTGAGATGGCAGCGCCCCACTGGGCGGAAGACCCAGAATCTGGGGGGGTCCCCAGCTTCCTTTCCAGGGATGGGCACTGCTGGGGTGGGGGGCCCAGCTTGTTGGGGGGCCCAGATCACACCAGGCCTCTGCACTGGGTAAAACGGGTCATGGAGCCCCCGCGGGAGCTGTGAGGACCCGTCCCCCGTCCTCCGTCGAGGTCTCCCCAGGAGCCCCGGACTCGCGCTCCGCTTCCGCGGGGCAGCCGCCCGTTCTGCTGCCCGCGTGCCGGTGCCTGCAGGAAACGGCCCCGTGGGATCCTGCTCACGTGCCCCACCGTCTGCTTGTGGCAGGAATTTCTGGACGTGACGCAGCAGACGCTCAAGTACCAGCTGCAGAGTTTGGTGAAGGAGTAAGCCTGTGCCCTGATTGTGGGGAGGGGCGCGTCCCAGCCGGGGCGGGGGGGGGCAGTGCGTGGTGGCGGGGGCCGTGTGCCGGGGCTTGGGGCTGGGCGGGGGCAGTGGCTTCCCAGGGGGGCGCTTTGCAGCATGCCGGTCTCATGGCTCCGGGCAGGGGAGGTTCAGGGTACGGGAAGGGCCCCGCACAGGGGGCAGGATGCCTGGCTAGCCCAGTGACAGGTGACACCCCGAGATCCCTTTCCAGGCGGTGTGCGCCCTGCTCGCATCCCATTCGGGCGTGCGTGGCATCGGGACTTCCTCCACCAGCCCCTGCCTGCCTCTCTCGCTTCCCCTCAGCCTCTCTCTGCCTCCCAAGCCCTCCGGATCAGTTGCGCGCTGCCGGCCGGGGGCGCTGGGAGCTGTAGTGCTACCCCGGCGGCCCCGGGAGCCGCAGGAGGTGGCTTTCCAAGCCGAGGCCGGCCGGCCGGTCCCGCGTGGGGGGCTGCCGCGGCGGCTCTTGGCCGTTGGGGTGCAGCGCCCCTTTGGCATCGATCCCTTGCCTTGCAGAGACATAAAGCACTTTAAGGAGGTCCGGAAGGAGTTCGAGCGCGGCAGCGAGAACCTGGCCAGCGCCCTGCAGCACAACGCGGAGGTGCCCCGCCGGCGCCAGCACGAGGCCGAGGAGGCCGCGGCGGCCCTGACGTCTGCGCGCACCGCCTTCTGCGCCCGGGCCCTCGACTACGTCCTGCGGGTGCGTGCGGCGGGGCCCGGCCAGGGCTGGGGGACAAGCACTGGACGGATGTGGCCCCGCAAGCTTGCGTGATTTCCCTTTCTTCTCGCCTCCTTCCAGATCAACGTGATCCAGTCCAAGAAGAAGTTTGAGATCCTGAAGTTCGTGAGTAGATTCTGGAAGGTGGCGGGGCGCACCACGGGCTGCCGCGACCGGGCGCCCCAGGTATGTCGGGCCACAAGTCCCAGCACGCCCCAACCAGCAGGTGGGCTGCTGGGACTTGTAGTCGGACACGTCTGGAGGACGCCAGGGTGGAGGCGGCTGCTGCAGAGCTCTGGGATATTGGCGTAGTGTTGTGCAACGGATTTGAACGAGGGCATTTATTTATTTATTTTTATTTACTTAGAAAATGTCTATGCCGCCCCATTTGCCAAAGCCTCGGGGCAGCTCACAACATAAATAACTTCAATTAAAATAATATAAATTAACAGTATAAAATAAGTCACCCTGGCCAAAGAATAAAATAAATAAATGCTATTAACAGTTAAAATGACATTTGAATAAAAAGGTCTTCGCCTGGCGCTGAAAAACAAATAACGATGGCGCCAGGCGGACCTCTCTGGGGAGCGCATTCCATAGATTGGGCGCCACCTCAGAGAAAGCCCTCCTCCGAGTACATACCCTCCTAATTTCTTTCACGGAGGGTTCCCGGAGAAGGGCCTCTCCCGCAGATCTCAAGGGACGGGTGGGCATATATGGACGTAAGCGCTCCTTCAGGTAGCCAGGACCCAAGCCGTTTAGGGCTTTATAGGTCATCACCAACACCTTGAATTGGGCCCGGACTTCAATGGGGAGCCAGTGAAGCTGACGGAGGACTGGAGTCATGTGAACGTAACGCCCCGTCCCCGTCAGCAGCCTGGCAGCTCTATTTTGAACCAATTGAAGTATCCGGACTGTCTTCAAGGGCAGCCCCACGTAGAGCGCATTTCCAGCCTGACCCTTCTCCTGCTCCCGATGCCGACTGCCTCTGCTCACTTCTCGGATGCCAGAAGCCAGGGCAGGCAGCTGTATTTGAATACAGCTCCCATCAGCCTCAGCCAGTGTGGACTGTAGTCCAAAAGAGCTGGAAGGTGGGGGGGCTTCCAGGGACCTCCTTTCTGTCAGGGTCCAGGCTTTGCATGTGGTTTGCATGTTGGGGTCTCTCTCTGAATCAACCCTTGATTCAGGTTCTGGGGGGGCACGGGGGGCCATTCTGCCTTTGAACGCCTGCCCCGTGCCGTGGGTTTGACAGCCCCGCTGCCACCCCTGGCGCTGCCTCCAGCCCCTCCCCTCAGACTTGCATGAGGCAAATTTATTGTATTTGCTTGTTCATTGATCGATTGCATTCATTTATCAAATAAGGTTGCATCTGAGCACCTGCAGAGGTTTCCCCTTTAGCCACAACCAGAGGCCTGTGCTCAGGTGTGGGCAGCGAGGGGGTGTCCAGATGTGCCGGCCTGTCACCCCCACCTGCCCTGCCCAGCAGGGCCTGCGGTTCCCGGGGGGGGGGCACCTTCATGCGCCCAGCCCCTCTTGGATCTTCTGCAAGGAACCCGCAGCTGCCGTCTGGCTGAAGCAGCCGTCTCTGCTTCCAGATGCTGACGCTGATGGAGGCGCAGTCCTTGTTCCTCGAGCAGGGGGCCCAGGTGACCAAGCAGCTGGAAAAGTATCGCAAGGACCTGGCGGCGCAGGTACGGACGGGCACAGCTCTGTCGTTGGGGCTTTGCCCCCCTAAAAATGGGAGGCCCTGGGGGGTGACTGAAGGGGAGAGCAGCAGAGGGGTGCTGGCCTGGAAAGAAAGCGGCCTGGCCCGGCAGGATGCTGCATTTGGATCTCGTGCCGTGCAGGAAATTCCCCGGCACCGTGCCCTTTGGATGCGTCGGACTGCAGCTTCCATAGTTCCAGCCACAGCCATCGGCTAGACTGGCTAGGAATGATGGGAGTCGTAGTCCAGCACATCTGGCAGCATCCCGGTTGGGACAGGCTGCTGGAGCTGCGCCCGGTGTGGCCGAGCCAGTTGTGGGCAAGGGGTGTGGCTGGATGATCTCTCGGATCCCTTTAAATTCCCTGAGTGCCCCTCTGAATTTTTGGGAAGTTCAATATTTTAGTTCAGTATTTTCCCAGTTCTGAGATTTCACCATTCATGAGAAGCATCATCATCATCATCATCATCATCATCATTATTATTATAACATTTCTATGCCGCCCCTTGCCAAAACCTCGGGGCGGCTTACAACATGATAAAATACATTGAAATACAATAGTACATAATAAATTACCATTAAATATAACAATACAAAAAATACATTGATTTACAAATACAAAATTAAAATTATCAGTATAAAATAAAAATATAGGATGAGAAAGAGAAGGAAGAAGAAGTTGCCCAGGCCAGATCATATGTTTTAACAATTGAAATGATGTTTAAATAAAAAGGTCTTTACCTGGCGCCGAAAAACCAGTAACGACGGTGCCAGGCGGACCTCTTTGGGGAGTGAATTCCATAGGTTGGGCGCCACCGCAGAGAAAGCCCTCCTCCGGGTACTTACTCTCCTAATTTCTTTCATGGAGGATTCCCGGAGAAGGGACTCTCCCGCAGATCTCAAAGGGCGGTCGGGCATATACGGACGTAAGCGCTCGTTCAGGTAGCCAGGACCCAAGCTGTTTAGGGCTTTGTAGGTCATAATCAACACCTTGAATTGGGCCCGGGCTTCAATGGGAAGCCAGTGAAGCTGACGGAGGACTGGAGTCATGTGAGCATAACGCCCCATCCCCGTCAGCAGCCTGGCAGCTCTATTTTGCACCAATTGAAGTGTTCGGACTGTCTTCAGGGGAAGCCCCACGTAAAGCGCGTTACAGAAGTCTAGGCGGGAAGTCACCAGCGCGTGTGAAGACATGGATGAGATTAGGAAAAGTTGAAATTCGGATGCTTTTTGCTGCTCTGGAGATTGGCAGAGATTCCTTAATTGGGCTGCGAGTTTATGTTTAAGAGGTCAGTCCTCATGAAGGCTTGACTTAAAGGGCTAGGTAAGAAGCTGCCTCGTAACCCACAAGGGATCGCTTCCTTCTCCAAAATGTTCACATGCTGAAACCAAAGGGTATGTGGTTATTTGCTTCCACTTTGTGGCCGAAAAGGTTACATCTTTCAGTCCGAGTCATGTTAATGCCTTTAAAGGGCTTGTTTTAAACTGCTGTGCAGCTTTTTGGGAAATTGGGCAGAATTGAAATGAAATATTGAAAAAAATAAAATTAATAAATTGGAGCACAATCTGTGCAAATTGAGGCAGAAAAAAGGCCATTTTTCTGTCTCAGCTCATGTGGAACCGCTCTGTTAATGGCTTCGCATCAACGTTTGGACGAAATCAGTGCTGCTAAGTCTTTTGAACGGGATCTGCAATGGGCCTCAAATGTCTTTGTGTTTCGTGTTTAAAAGTTCCATTGTCAAGGAAGAGCTGTCATTCTCACAAAGTCACTCTTTCATTGTGAGGTTGCTGTTGGGTGGACACGATTAAACATGTTAGTTAGAAGTCATCCAGTTTTTTAATTATCGGCTTGAGTGTCCAGTGCCTGAGGATGATGGGAGTTGTAGACCAACAACTGACAGGAACTTGGGTTGCTTATCCCTTTAAGTGTCTTTTCCGAATTACTCAAATCCAACACTTCCCTGCTTGGACTAAGACACGAGTCCCTTCGGATGTGTCAGCTGCCTCGCCGCCATCATGGTGGCTGGGGATGATGGAACTTGCAGCCCAACCCATGTGGAAGGGAAGCTAGCTTAAGGAAGGGCTGGTTCAAGGGGAAACGCCGGGGCTTCTCAGGATGCTGGTGTGGGTGTGTTTTTGCCTGTGCATCAGTCCCTGACCGTGTGTTTTCGCTCTGGCAAGCGAGCGGGAACCACCTCGCCCTGCCGTCCAGCTAGCAATGCAGAGTTCAAATGTCGCCCGGCCGTTTCCCATCCGGAGTGACCCGCTTCCTTGCAACGCGACCCCGATCTGTGTTTTGGTGGCTGGTGCGGGGCACATCTGGCCTCGCAGCCCCGTTGTTGGCAAGGGAAACATCAGGCGGGGTTCCTGAGGTTCGGGAAAACAGCCCCAGAGATGACGGGCTTTGTCCTCCGCTATCCTGGGAGGAGCCCGGGCGGCCAGCCTCATTCCCAAACTCTTCTGCAGCTCCATCAGCTGGTCCTGGAGTCGGCCCGAGAGAAGCGGGAGATGGAGCAGCGTCACACCATGATCAAGCAAAAGGTGGGCTTTCCCCGCGGCGATGGGGGGCTGTCTTGCGAGGCCGTGCCTGGAATATGCGGCACACGGGGGACCCGGAACGGCGGCAGGGATCTGAGCTTGTGAGGTGGCGTGTGTAAGAAGGGGGGGCTCGGGGAAGCCGGGAACTGCCCCCCCACCCCGATGCTTTCCTGCTAAAAATGACAGCTTCCAGTGCAGGGACCTGGGTTTAGTAGGAGAGCTGGTGAGGAGGTGGGGCTTAGAGTGTGGGAGGGGCTTGTGGTAGGACGACGGAGAGGGGCTCCAATGGGGAGGGGTCTAGGACCTAGGGGCAGAGATGGGGGGCTCCCCTCTGCTTGCCTCTGCGGGCAAGTCGAGATGGTCCTTACCGCCTGCTGTCCCTCCCGCCTCGTCCCAGGACCTGTCCCAGGAGGACGTCCTTCCCGAAGCCCGGGCAGAGCCAGGCAGGGCGGTGATGGAGGGGTACTTGTTCAAACGGGCCAGCAACGCCTTCAAGACGTGGAGCAGGTGAGCTGTGCCCCCACCCCTGCTTTCGCTTTCCCCGGGCTAGTACAGAGCTGGACGGGGGGGGGGGGGTTGAGGGGGGGGGGGGCCGGGTTTGCTCTCGTGCCGCTGAGTTTTGGGGGCAACGCTGGTGGTGGGGTGCAGCCCCTGGTGGGGCTCTGTGGGGGGACCGATCCTTGAGTCCTCAGAAGGTGTTTGCAACCAGAAGGCCCAGGGGCAGCCGCTGCGAAGTCTCCTCCCCAGGTCATTCTTACAGGCTTGTAATTGTGGCTACCGACCTGGGAAGAGGGGGAAACCTGCTGTAGCTTGTTTCCAGCACCTGGCCTTGCGTTGCTCGGCTTCCACCATGGGTGGAGGAGCCGTCCGTGTTCCTGCCGGGGCTGAAGTCCTGCTCGCTGGCAGAGGGGCACTTCCGGGGCCCCGTGAGCCCCACTTCTTCCAGCCAGACCTGTCAAGGGGCGAATGAAAGCAGGAGGTTGTGCCGAGCGCTCCCCCGGTGCTGCCTCCCCCCTCCCCCCCCCCGGCAGCTGCTTTCAGCTCCTCAGCCCCGTCCTTTGTGTGATTTCTCCTAAAACCGCAGGCGCTGGTTTTCCATCCAGAGCAACCAGCTGGTGTACCAGAAGAAGGCCAAGGTGGGGATGGATTTGCTTTTGGGTGCTTGTGTGTGGGGTGGGGCAGGGTTTTGGGGGGGGCTGCGTGCAGCCCCCCGTCGCGGAGGCGGGGGGGAACGCCTCACCTTCGTTCGAACCTTCAAGCGCGTGTCCCTTCGGAGAGGCTTGAAATAGCTTCGTGATTCTTGACGCCCCTTCTTGACGCCCCTTCCCGACGTTTAGCTCTGACCCTGCAGCTCAAGGTGTTTCCGTACTTCACTGCACTGGTTTAGGGTCACTTTATACACAATGAAGTCCCTTTCGGGATGAAAACGGTGTTGGGGACTATTTCCTTAATAAATCAGGGTGTGGTTCTGCCCAGGCTTGGACAAAGGCAGGAGAAATGCCCCCCCCCGCCCCCGGCTAGCTTGTTCCCTCTCCCAGCCTCACTCTCCTCTCCTCTCCTCTCCTCTCCTCTCCTCTCGCCACGTCCGTGTCCAGGTCGCTGTGACGGTGGTCATGGAGGACCTCCGGCTCTGCACGGTCAAGCCCTGCCCGGACCACGAGCGCCGTTTCTGCTTCGAGGTGGTGTCGCCCACCAAGTGAGCCCGCTCCCCTCTGAAATCCCCCATCCTTTTCCGGCAGCCTTTCCCAGCAGGGGCCCTCTGGAGGTGTGGGATCACCACTCCCAGCATCATGCAGCCAGCTGGGAGTGGTAGTCCCACACCTCTGAAAGGCAGCTGGGTCTGGGCACAAGGGCCTGTCCCTACCAGAACGTCGCTTGGCGTACGATGACCGCTGAAGTTGCTTCTGGAGGAGTGTTGAGCTCTGACTTTGGCGTGCCTCCACGGGGTGCGCGCGCAAGAACGGCACGGATCCGGGAGTGCAGCGCTCGCTCTCCCTCCCTGCAGGAGCTGCCTCCTCCAAGCGGACTCGGAGAAGCACCAGAACGCCTGGGTCACTGCCGTTCAAAACAGCATCGCCTCCGCTTACAGCGAGGACCGCTTGGAGTTCCAGGGACAGGTCAGGCCACAACACTCCAAAAGAAAATTGAGTCCAAACCGTGGCCACCCAGATCTCTGCCCCCGAGGCTGTTCTGTTTGCGTTTCCCCCCACATCTTTAATATGTATGCGCCAGTGCTGCCACTCAGAGTCTCGTTGACTCAGAAAGCATCAAATGTGATGATATAATGATGGGCTTGCGGGGAGGGGGTCATATGAAAAGGGGTAATTGTTTAGCTCAGGCTGGACTGCAGCTCCCAGCATTCCTGTCCACTGTGCATGCTGGCAGGGGCTGCTGGGAGTTGAAGTACAAGACAACTGCAGATCAACGTGCTTCAGATCAATTCCCCTGTATATAAATCAGATTCACCCTAGGTTTCTTAGATGATAAACCTCGACTCCCATTTCAGGCAGAGGGGAAGTAGTTTTGTTAGGCCATTGTGGCAGAAACAACCAGGAACCTGGCTGCGTTCACACGACACACCTGTCTGTTTTGCCGGCCTCTTGCTCCTGGGTCGGCACACACGTTGGAGGGCTGGCCGGTCTTTTTTTTTTTTTTTGAATTTATATCCTGCCTTTTTCCTACAAAGGGCTCAAGGCAGCTTACATCATTCTCCTCCTCCATCTTATCCTCACAACTACAACCCTGTGAGGTAGGTTGGGCTGAGAGTCTGTGACTGGCCCAAAGTCACCCGGTTGGCTCCATGGCCGAGCGGGGACTCGAACCCGGATTGTCTGAGTCCCAGTCCCACACGCTTAACCACTCCGTGAGCACCTGCATTCAGGTGGCACGACAAGCCACGATGGCACAGGACAGTGATGGCGGACAATCCAACCTGCAAACAAAGGTTTCAGCTCAGAAAAAACAACACACAGCCAGGCCAAGCAAATATATGGATATCCTTGGCAGCGCACTGACCGGCCATGCGGAAGCTCGTGTGAGTCGTGGCTCATGCGTTGTGCCTTGTGACGTCATTGCCTGGCACCGCTGCTTCTTTGCGCATGGCCCCTGTGTGCGCTGTTATCCGATGCTCGACTGCGGGGGGGATGCTGGGGCTGCTTGGCTTGCATGTCATAGGTTTGCCGTCATAGACACCCCTAATCCTAATAGAGGGCAAAAGTTCCATTGAAAATAATGCAATTTTGAAAAAGCCTTCCCTGAGTAGCTTTTTCTGCGCAGCTCATCATTTCTGCCCATTCTAAACCCATTCCAACCATCGAAACCATGCCAGGACACCTCGTTTTTCTAACCCTAACCCTACCCTGGTGCACACCCCTAACCCTAAAATAGGGCAGAAGTTCCCTTGAAAATACGGCAATTTTGAAAAAGCCTTCCCTGAGTAGCCTTTTCTGCGCAGCTCATCATTTCTGCCCATTCTAAACACGTTCCACACATCAAACCCTGCCAGGACGCCTCGTTTTCCTAACCCTAACCCAGTGATGGCGAACCTTTTAGAGACCGAGTGCCCAAACTGCAACCCAAAGCCCACTTATTGATCGCAAAGTACCAACACTGCAATCAAACCTGAAAACTGAGGTTTTAGTCTAGAAAAAACAACTCACAGCCAGGCCAAGCAAAGATATTTATTTATTTATTATTTATTTATTAAAACATTTTTATGCTGCCCCATTCGCCAAAGCCTCGGGGTGGCTTACAACAATAAAAAAGATATATATCTTTGGCAGTGCACTGACCAGCCATGCGAAAGCTCGGATGAGTCGTGGCTAATGAGTTGTGCCTTGTGATGTCATCGCCTGGCGCCGCTACTCCTTTCCAAGCATGCGCACGGCCCCTGTGTGCGCTGTTACCTGATGCTCGGCTGCTGGGGCGGTGCGGGGCCGACTTGGCTCGCGTGCCGACAGAGAGGGCTCTGCCTGACCCCCGTTTCACGCGTGCCACAGGTTCACCACCAGTGGCATAGAGAACCCATAGAACAAACCTTGCTTTTACCAGTTTCTAAAGACCAGTCTTACCACGGTGAAGTCGCACAACTGGGTTCAAGTAACACAATGGGTAACAATGGTGAAAAAAACCTCGCTGGCTTTTCCGTGTTGTCTGAACCTAACCCCTGTGGTGTCAGGACCATTAGAGGGGGCGAGAGTACAATATCAGTTTACGTGGATGAGACGCCTCTTGTTTGTGTGAAGGGTCATTCTCAGTTTACAGGTGTGTGTGTTTTGGTGTAAAGTGTGTGTGTGTGTGTGTGTGGAGGGGGGGTTAGGTAGGTGGCAACGAAATGCCAGAGGCACATGATCTAAGCTTTAAATAAGCCCTTAGTATTTATTTCTTGTATTCTGATACTGGAAACGTTCCGTGTGAGCCAAAATTGTAAAGGGATTTTTATCTCATTTCTCAGCCAGGAACCGCAGTCAGCCAAAAATCAGCCGCTGCCTGCATGCTTGTGATCTCAAAGACACGGCACATGAGGACATAGGGGTGAGGGGGGACGAGGAGTGGAAAGGCCCTGCCTTCCCTCTCGTCTCCCAGGGCAGAGGGGGCTGTTCAGCTGAATGTGGCCCCCCCCACAGGCCTTGCCCCTCTTCCTGTCCAGCCTGCCTGCACCCTCATAAGGGCTAGGAACTTGGCTGCTGCCCTTCAGACAAAGGCAGGCCCTCTCAGAGCGGGGAACTCCCTGCCTGGTGCACCTTTCCAGCGTCCGGTCTGGTGGCGGAGATGCAGGCCGTTGTCTCGCTTCTCCGCAGCCCCTGGAACGGACGGCCTCCCTCTCCGTGGCCGGACTGCGGTCCCCGACCAGTCGGAAGCTCCGGGGCGGCGTGGACAAGCACGTGGTGGACAAGCTGCAGCGCCTGGAGGGCAACGCGCAGTGCTGCGACTGCCGCGAGGCGGCCCCCGAGTGGGCCAGCATCAACCTGGGCGTCACGCTCTGCATCGAGTGCTCCGGCATCCACAGGTGAGCCGGCCCTGCCGCCGGGGTCCTGCGGGGCCTCGCCCGCCCACGCGGGGGGCTCGAACGAAGGGGACTCGGCGCAAGGGGTGGGGCGGGGGTGCCGAACCCCAGGCCGGGGCCAGAGCCAGCCCTCCGAGGTGAGGGTCCGCCCGGGGCTGGGAACCAGGGCTCGGCCGCCCGGGCTCCATGCGGCCTGGCAGCGGCCCAGAGTCGGAATTCCTGGCCGAGGCATCGCGCGTCGGTGGGGCGCGTGCCAGGGATCGGTTCCGCGTGACCCCCTGCTGCACCAGCTGCAGCGGCCGAGGGGAAGACGGCCTCCTGCTGCCCGGCCCTCCCGTCAGCTCCCTTTGGAAGACGGGGCCAAGCAGGGGCGGATTCCGATGGGGCTTGTCCCAGCGGAGCTGTCCGTGGCGCTGCACCGATTTGGAGGCCGGGGTTCGGCACCGGGGACGGGTCGGGCTGAAACCCGGCGTGCATACACTGCCCCACGGAGGTTGGAGGCCCACTTCCGGGTGCTTTTCCTGTTTTCAGCGGAAATGCGTCTTCTGAAGGTTAATGCCTGGGGTGAGAGCCCCCAGCTAAGCGGGGCCTGCATTTTGGCCTTGCCCCCTTTTCACCCGCAGTGTGGCTCAGCCCTTGGGGGGGGGGCATTCAGCACCCCAGGGGTGGAGTTTCAAACTGGAGGCGATGGGGCTGCGCAGGTGAGCAGCCAGGGAGGGGTGGGGCCTGGAGTGAGGGAGGAGCTTGGGGGCAAAGGGGTGGGGCTTGTGCCAGAGGAACCAGAAATGGGTGGGGCTTGTGGTGATGGGGGAAGGCAGCACGGGGAGGGGCTTGAGGGGAGGGGAGGAGTCAGGGGCAAGGGGTGGGGCTTGTGCAGCGCCTGGGAGGGGCTTCCGTTCCCCCCGCCCCAGGAAATCGTCCGGCGGCCCCTTGCCTGTTCTCTCGCCCTCCCCGCAGGAGCCTGGGGGTCCACTTCTCCAAGGTACGATCGCTGACGCTCGACTCCTGGGAACCTGAGCTGGTCAAGGTGAGGGCAGGTGGGGCGGCGACTGGCGGGCTGAGGGGGCCGCGGCATGGGGGAGCTGCGAGGGGCCGCCGAGGCCGCGGGGCCGCCTGTCTGCCAGGGGTGCAGGTCGTGTCCGCGGGGTGTAAGCTGCGCCCGTGGGGCAGTTGCATGGCCTCTGGGGGCTCCCCCTCGCAGTGTGGGAAGCTGCTGTCTTGGAGCCTCGGCTTTCCAGTCTGTGAAATGGGGATGGCGGGGCGACCTCACGAGCTTTTGTGGGGAAGATAAGCGAGCTTAGACGGCAGAGCAAATGCGGCAGAGCTCCTTCTGAGGCGGTCGAGCTGCGTCTTGGCTGCAGCAGAATGCTCTTCTGTGGCAAGCAAAGCCAAACTCTGCTTCGGAAAGCTGGAAAGTCGGGGGAAAGCTGTTCTAGACTCTATGTGCAGGGAGTATTTTCCTGTGTTAGAGGCATTGGGTCATGTGAGTCTCTGAGCACAGTCTGAAGTGGTGCAGCCCACCTGTGGGTGCATTGCCTCAGTGAGGACTAGAACCTTAGAAATGGTAACGATGGGTATTAACAGTGGCTGGCAATGTGAGGGGTGGGGGGATAATGCCTGTGCTGCAGCTTTTCTCCAAACTGTGGGCCACTCACAGAGAGTCGGGCTGTTGCCCAGCTTGGTTCTTGACACCCCCCCAAAGGAAGGGGGCCAAGGGTGGTCCTGGGCTGGCCACAGGGCTAGTCCCACCAGTCACCTCCTCCCCCGAGAATTTGTCCAGCCCCCTTTTAACGTCCTCCAAAGAGGGGGCCATTTCGACCTCGGGGCAGCCGCGAGAATCCCAAGCAGCTCAGCTCTGTGTTGTGTGAAGCCCTCCTCCTCCTCTCCCACCCATCAGTCATGGGGTGACCCCGGGTTCAAGGGACAAAGATGTCTTCCTCTCCGCCTTGTGCCCGCAGATCCTGGGTTCCAGGCAGCTGGGCTTGCGGGAGAGGAGAATCGGGGGGGGGGGGGGGGGGCAGCGGCGTGGCTGACTCTCTCTGTCCACTGCAGTTGATGTGCGAACTGGGGAATCATGTGATCAACCAGATTTACGAGGCTCGGGTGGAGGAGATGAACATGAAGCGGCCCCACCCGAGCAGCTCACGGTAAGGGCCCCCCCTCCCCGCCAGCACCTCGGCCGTGCGCCCCTCACCCGGCAGCTCCCCACCCTCACTCGCTTCCGTCCACCTGGCCGAGGAATGTTTGCTTGCTTGCTTGCTTGCTTATTTAGAATTTTTGTATGCCGTCCCATTGCGTTGCCTCGGGACGGCTGACATAAAGAAGCACAATACGAATGATACAAATAGAATCAAGATTCACCCTGGCTGCTAATTAAAACCTATAGATGATATTGAAAGTTATTAAAATACTGTTTAAATAAAAAGGTCTTAGCCTGGCGCCGAAAAACAAGTCGCGACGGCGCCAGGCGGACCTCTCTGGGGAGCGCGTTCCATGTTACATGCGTATTATAAGTTTGTTCCCACACCTGCCCAAGGGGTGGCGCTGTTGTGGCAGCTGTGCGCTCTGGCTGCTGGGTGGACCGCACCTGCGGCACCCCTCCCGCCTCCCCAAAATTTGCACGCCGGAGCTGGCCTCTTACTTTTATGAGTTTCCTTGCACCTTCCATGCCCAGGAAAGGGTGTTTCTGAGCACGTGCAAAATGGACCTCTGCTCTACATTACTTGCTTGATAGACGCATCAGTGCCCTGAATCTCTTCCCCGCCGTCGCAGGTTGGAGAAGGAAGCCTGGATCCGGGCCAAGTACGTGGAAAAGAAGTTCATCACCAAGTTCCCCAAGGCCGGGCTGCGCCCCATGCCGGGCAGCGAGGTCCGGACCCCCGAGAAGCCGCCGAAGCCGTTCCTCAAGCCGAAGCCTCCGCACCAGGCCCGCGGGAATGCAGGTGGGCCGGGGGCGCCTCGTTCCTTTCCGCACGGGGCTTATCGGACGGGGCCAGACTTCCAGTCCCCTGGAACGTCCCGCATGCGTGCGGAGCAAATCTTTGGAAGCCTGGAGCCTCCAGCTTCAGCGGTGCTCGGGGGCAGGCGCCTGCTGCTTGGGAGCCACCCCGGGGAGGCCCTGCTTGGGGGCTCGCCCACAGCATCTGGCTGGGGGGTGCTGGAAAGGAGCTGTGGGACCGGAGGGACCTTTTGTCTGATCCTGCAATTCTTAGGGCCTTAGTGATGATATTCCCGGAGTCTGGCACTGCCTCCCCCTGCACGTGTGGTTACAGGTGCGGTGACCACGGCCAACCTCAGGCTCCTCTGGAAAACATACTTGCCTGGGCTTCCTCCAGCAGCATCGCTGCCCAGTTTGATCGTTCTGCTAATTGTAATATTTTCCATCAGTTATTACAGAATCTCTTTTTTCTGTTGTGTTATCCATGCGTTTTAGGGTGAGCTGCTTAGAAGGTTTTACTAGATTAACAAATCTGAGAGGTACTAACTACAGTATAATATTAATGATAATGTGTGTGTCAGAGTCTTCTAATGATGTACTCGGGGTGGCTAACGGCACGGGACAAAGCAGTCATTGTGGGATACGGGGCAACGGATCGGTAGCTGCGGATGGCAAGATAAACAGCGGAAATACGAAGTGGCTCCGTCTCACTGCTTCGTCTTTTTCAGGCAGTGGTCCCCGCCGTGTGAGCCCCCCCTCCGGTGTGGCCCCTGGAGGTACTGCACCCCTGCTGGCTCTATGGGGTGGGGAGGGGGTCCTGAGGCCGGGGAGGGCCCCGCCAAGGAGCCTGGTTTGATGGGCATTTGCGGGCTTTTCCTTGGGGGCTCCCCTTGAGGAATGGCCATTGTGGCCCTCTAGATGTTTGGGTGTACGACGCCCATCATCCCTCACTGTTGGCTGGGGCTGTTGGGAGTTGCTGTCCCAAGCAGGTGGACTGCTGAAGTAGCGTGCCTTTGTACTGGGGCAAATTGCCGGGCGCATCTGAGCAGGCCTGGGGGCGGGGGGCCGCTCTGGGGATCGCTGCACCCCAGACGGAGGGACGTGCCATTCCGTCGCCCCGTGTCTCCTGCATTGCCAGGCCTCCTCCGTTCCGTCGCCTGCTCCTTGGCAAGAACGTTCTCCTTTTAATCTAGAATTCCACTCCGCCTCTGCTCGTCCACGCTAGCAGGGTGCACTTTAATCCATTCAGGGTCGTGCTTGTGTGCATCGCAGCTACTTCGAAATGGCACAAAATCCGCTCCAGACCTGAAAAACCAGTTCACACGTTTGCAGTATCCGTGTGACTCAGAAAAATCCGCCCCGTTGCGGAATCTGCGGAATCTACAGGCCAGATTACTAGAAAATCAGCTCTTGCGAAAGTCGTGCTTTTCTCCAGCATCGCTCGCTCATCGTGTTGTGGGACAAGGGGTGGGAAGCCAGAAGCAGCCCCTGGAGACCCGCATGTGGCCTGTTTCCCTCAGCTCTGACCATTGGCTGGCGAGAAGAGTGTAATTCAAGGGCAGGTCACCTTTAAATACCCTGCAGGCAACAGTGGCAGCTGTAGAGCGGTGTGCTTTGAGTGACACGCTCCATCTCTCTCTCCCAGGCCAGCGGGAGGGGGTGTCTCCGGGCGCCACCCCCCCTCCGGAAAGCCTGCAGAGCCTGCACCCGGGGGCCCTGCTGTACCGTGCGGCCGCTGCGCCCCCCAGCTTGCCCACGATGGCCGACGCTCTGGCCCACGGCGCGGACGTCAACTGGGTGAACATGGCCCAGGAGAGCCGCACGCCCTTGCTACAGGCGGTCGCTGCAGTGAGTCTGGGTCTGGAAGATGGGGGCTCGTGCCACGGATGTGCTAGAGCTCTTCCGTCCCACCTTCCCGGCTGCTCTTTCTAAAAATCTTCTCTGTTTCTGCCCAGAATTCTCTGCTGGCCTGTGAATTCCTGCTGCAAAACGGAGCCAGCGTCAACCAGCCGGACAGCAGGGGGAGGGGGCCGCTGCACCACGCCACCACCCTGGGCCATACCGGGTACGGCCTCCCGAGCATCCGTCCCGCTCTCCCTCGCTCGTGGTCCCTGCCTGGTCCCGGGCTTTTGGAGTCTTCGGCAGGCAGGCTCTCGCTTCCTCGCTCTTACTTCATTTTTGGCGTCTGTCCCTTTCAACACATATTCTTGGCCTCTTAGTCTTTCTGTTTGTTCATTTAACATTCCTGATCTGCAATGGGAAAGGCTCATGAGCGACCAGCACTCTTAAAAGTCAGCCAGATGTTGTGAACGCAAGACCCCGCTGTCCCTTGCCACTGGCCTTGCGGTCCCAAACATCTGGAAGGGACCCTGCTGCTCCCCCCTCACAAGCACCATGTCAAATTCCGTCTTAGGCTTGTCTTCTGTGCTTTTCTTTAATCAGGCATTTAAGTGTGGGACCGGCTTCTCTGTATGCAAGCCCCCATGCGTGTCGTTTTCTTGATGGAAAAACGGGGTACCAGTTCAGTAAATGCCGAAATATACATCATGTCATCAACCGATGGGCAGAACCCATGACTAAATCAATAATCGTTTACAAATGATTAAATAAATATTAATACTAGGTTATTTTTTAAAATTTTATTTAATTAGGCATGATTAAATGGCATTTTTGAAATTAAGAAGTGGACCCCTAAATGTAGCTTTGAACTAAAGGTGGGTTTGAAGCCCAGAAGGGCTGAAATCGGGCAGCCCCCCCTCTGGGGTTCACAGGGTGTCTTTTTTGGCCCTTGCTGGGGGTGGAGGGGGAATGAACCTGGTTCTGCATGAAGGCTGCGCAGCAGCAGTGTGCTCAGCCTGCTACAGCTCCCAGCATTCCCCAGCCTGCTACAGCTCCCAGCATTCCCCAGCCTGCTACAGTTTCCCAGCATTCCCCAGCCTGCTATAGCTCCCAGCATTCCCCAGCCAGTTGCAGGACTGGCTGGGGAGTGCTGGGAATGGCAGGCTGCCTTCCTTTCCGAATGCCTGCAGGACCGTGCCCTTCATTCCCGTTCTCCCTTTCGCCAGCCTGGCTTGCCTGTTCCTCAAGCGCGGGGCCAACATGAACGCGGTCGACAGGGACGGCAAGGATCCGCTCAGCATCGCCATCGATCTGGCCAACGCGGACATCGTGACCCTGTGAGTGCGGCCGGGCTCCTTGTCGCCTCCCGGCCGGGCACCAAGAGCAGAGCGCCACGGGGTGGGCCGTGCCTCTCGGGGGCCTGGGGGGAAAGAGCTGGACCGTGGGGCGAGTGAAGGGAAAGCCCCTGGGGCATGGGGGTCTCAGGGTGGGGAGCACCGAATATCCTGGAACGACTGGGATGAGGAAGCAGCCCTGGCAGTCCCCCACCCACTCCGTCTGCACCCTCCCTTCCATGGTTCTCCCCTGACTTCAGGGGTGCTGGCGCTCAGGCTTGGATCTGGCGTTGCACCCCCCCCCCCAGTGCTTGGTGCTGTCCGAGGTTCCCTGCAGCTTTTTCCACATCCGGAAAGGGTGACATTGCCTCTCCCAGGAACAGAACACCTGTCGGAGTGGCTCTGCGAGCCCTGATCTACCTGGATGCTCTGCTCAGCCTCCGAGCCCTTCCTTCCCCCAGCTGCTTGGGTGGCTCGCAGGGGGGCAACGAGGGCGAGGGCCCCCCATCTTGGAACAGCCTGCCTCGCACCACATTGGCCGTCTTTGCAGCACCAGGTTAAGGCAGCCCCTTTGCGGCGGCCTTCCAAGCCCCCCCTGGTCATTCAGGGGCTTCACCAGGCGCCTCTCACCCTTGGCCGGGCCTTTTTAATCCTCTTTTGTCTTTCAACGTCCTTTTGTGTTATTTTAGCATTTTATTTCTTACTGTTTCTCTCTCTCGTCTTTTATTTTTCTTGCATTTCTTGTATTCCACCGAGAGAGCTGCAGCTGCGGGTGGTATAGAAATGAAAATAATCACGGAACAGTTCTAACGCACAACTGTTTTCTCTTCCTTGTCTCTTGCTGCCCGTGTCGAAGGCTGCGTTTGGCTAAGATGCGTGAATCGGAGCTTGCCCAGGGCCAGTCGGGTGAGTCCCCTGGCTTTGGGGATGGAGAGGTGGCCCTGGAACGTGGGGAGTGGGGCGGGGGGTGCGTCTCCGCCCCAGGCATGGGGAAATGAGGCAGCTGACATCGCTGCTGCTGTGGAGCGGGTCGGCCTGCCCGGGGCCATTCCTGAGCCGGCATTCGTTCCATCCGTGAAATGTGCACATTCTCAGGGTGACTGATGCCAGCCATAGATTGCTTTAGGGTAACAATGCCAGTTTTTTGACGGCTCATTTTCATGCGCTCCCACCCAGAGCTGTACTTGCAAGGTTGAGAGTACGTTGGGGGCTTTTTTTGGAGGGGTGGTTCCTGGTATGGGTGGGGTGGGATCGGGCCGGGCCAGGGGCCGTTCCCCCATGGAGCGGTGCCCCATGATGCCTCTGCCACAGTCTTGGACATCGCCATCCCCTTCCTCCAGGAGACGAGACCTACCTTGACATCTTCCATGACTTTTCCCTCATGGCGTCCAACGACCCGGACAAGCTGACTCGGCGAAGCGGAGACCTGATGAAGCTGACGACCCTGTGAAGCCCCCACGGACCCCAGACGGATGGGAACACGTGGGCAGACACCTCTCGGAGGCGCTGGTTTGCAGAACCTCTGGGGACAGGAGCGAGCTGCCGTCTGGTGTGGGCCGTGGGGACAGCAGGGACCAGGCGCCGAGATCTGCTCCTTCCTACCCTGCTTGGGAGACTGCGCAGCGCAAAAGAGCCCAGCAGGGCTGAAGTACCGGCCTCTCGGGCACATCACTCGGGACCCTTCAGCACCTCCGCATTTTTTAATTTATTGCCCTGGGAGAGGGCTTCGCCCGCTCTGCGTCGCGGCTGTGGCCACTGGACGGATACGAAAAGGGCGGCGTGCTTTCCTCCCCTTTGATCCAGCTCCGGTTAACTTCCGCCCCTCCCCAGGGGGGCTGGGTGGGCACAGCAGTGCCGGCACGTGATGCGTGGGAGAGGACACGCAATAAACCGGTTGTGTTCAGTGGGGCACCTTGTGTGTGCGCACGTGCTCTGCAGACACCCAGCCCCGAGACGGGAGGGGTCCTTTGCGGTGGCTGCGACGCTGCAGGCAGCTGTGGTGGGAAGGCTTCCCAGACAGATTCCCTTGGATGCAGACCTCGTCCCATCGATGCCAGGCCCCGGCAGAGTCCTAAAATTTAAGCTGATCTGTAGACAGAGCTCCCAAACCCAATTACGAGTTCATGTATCCAAGTACCCATGTGCTCGCCTTCTGTGCCGTACCTAATTTTCCTGGGCTGTGGTTTATTTTTAAGGCATGGGGGCTTCGTGGGTCAGGGCTGGAGCCCCTTCTTGGCTGCATCAAGCCCCATGTTCGCCTCTGAGCATCCCAGCTAAACTGGGGAAGAAAAAGGCCTGGGACCCAGTAAGCCAGAGTCAGGGGCGCCCGGCGACAGCTTCAAAGGGAAGGGCAAAGTTTGAACCCTGCTCCAGCATCATGAAATGAGGATACTCTGTACATGCTCCACAGAGCTTGTATTCACCACTGCTGGTACGCCTGGCTTGCATTTGAGCCTCGGTGCATCCCAGGTTAGATCTTGCATTCTGCTGAGGGAAACGGCCGGGCCGGAAGCACAGCTGGCTTGTATCCTATTTACAGCGTGGCTGGAAAAGAAGAGCTTGTATGAAGCGGTCGCTGGCAGGGGGCCTTTAGCAGCTGAGCCACCGGAAGAAATCCAGGAGTTGCACCCTGTCGCCCCAGTACGGGGTGAGGGAACGGGTAGGAGACGTCTCTTCAGTTTGCATCTCATGGGGAACCAACCAGGTTTGCGCTTCCTTGCACCGAAAAGCAACCTGGAATGTCGTTCTGTTTTTCGGAGCATGTGAGATGCTGTCCAGGAGTGGCGCTTACGCAAAAGCAAGAACTGGTCACACGGCACGGCGGGTTGCGGAAGTTTTCTCTGCTGACCCATCCCAGCTTCTAGCGGACGGGTGCCCTTTCCCTGCCCGTCTCCCTTCCCCGTTGCTCCGCTGTGTCGGAATCGGGAGAGGAAGAGCCTCATGGCCACGCACCTGGTTTGCGGGAAAGTTGCGCAGGGAGAAGAAAGCCAGCGGGGAGTGCAGGAAGCGGCAGTGCTGGGGTCGGGGGGGGGGGACCCTTCTGGCGGGGGACCCTGCGGGAACGGCCCCCGGGGCTTCTCTTTCGGGCTTCTGGGAGGGATATTTCCCGCTCCTACCTGGAGGTGCACCTGCAGAGCAGAGCAGACCTCGGCCACTGGTCTGTGGCCCTGCAGTTTGCTGCCTCGCACGCCTCTCCCCCCTTCCTCCCCGCTCGGTGGCGGAGCCACTCCGGAGCCGTGGCCCAGGGGCACGTGGCGTGGGAGCGAAAGTGCCTGCGCCATGTCCATCAGGTAATGGAGCCTTGGCAGAGTTGCTTCGACTTTTGCCGGCGGGGGCTGGGGGCGGGGAATCTGGGGGCCCTGGGGCCCCATTCAGCTCAGGGGTCTCTCCCTGGGATTCTGGGCAGACGCGCCCACGCAAATTCCAGCCTGACCCCACACAGACTTGATATTCAATTCAATTTCTTTATTTGTGCAAATGTAATAAACCCCCTAAGAGGTAAGGATTTAAGGGAATTTGCTTTTAGTCTGGCAAGAGGTGCTTACGTATAGACAGTCCCTGCCCTCACAGGATTACAATCTAAGGTGTCATTCAAGGAAAAAGGGACTCGGAGGGGAGAGGAAACGATTCCAAATGCCCAGCTATCCTCCCTTTTCTTACAGAGGACTGTGCGAACCCTTCCCAGCCGGGGCAGCTGCCAGTCGCCTTGGAGTTTGGCTCCCGCCGTCTCTGGCTCGGGGTGATGGAGTTGTAGTCCAGCACTTCTGAAAAGTGCCAGGTCGGGCGGCTTGGACGTGGCCCCAAGAGCGCCTCTGGCGCTGGGGTGAAAGGGGCTCCCCACCCCTGCAGCGCATCCTCACGAACGATGTGCAGAAGCCACCGCAATGCGGGCGTGCAGAACTGGCAGGCTTGCGCACAGGAATCCACCCACTTGTCTCCGCGCAGGTTTGCGCTGAGCTTTGGCCTTCGTCCCGCGTGCCGTGCTTCTCGCCCAGGCGGGCCTGGCACTGGTGGGCAACGGCCTGGCCGCCTCCTCCGCCCTCTCCCCGTTCCTGGCCCTGGCGGACGCCCTGCTCGGTGCTTCGGCTGCCACCCACGGCTCTGCGGAGCCCCTGCCCACCGGCCCTGCGCGGGGACCGGGCGCTGCGTTGGGCCTGGCAGTTGGCGTGGCGCGAAGTACGTGCCCCTGGGACCAGGCAGGCAGGCGTGGGCACAGGGCTGCGCCCTTACGAAGCCATCCACATGGAGGGGGCGCCCGCTGCCCCGCGAGGTGGGCTTGCTCCGGCTGCCGCGCCTCTTCCTGCCAGGGACCCTCCATCTGTAAGGCCGGTTGGATGGGGCGCCCCGGCCAGGAACGGACCCCCCGAGCGGGCTTTGGAGACTGGGGCACCCTTTGCTGAACCGGGGGTGCCGCGTCGCTTGAGCCGCTCGCAGAGGCGAGCTCAGCTCCCTGCCGGAACACGCCCCGGCCTCGCAGCGCTGCTGCCCCCAAAGAGATGGACCACGACCCCCGCTGTTTGCGCTCCTCGAGGCCGGCTTGGTTTTGTTCTTCGGTCCGGGTCCGCCGCTGAAAAAGCTCTTCAGCCCCCTTCGCTGCCATCGGTCCCCCTGCCCATCCCCACCTGCCGGCTTGTGACAGGACAAGGGTGCAAGGAATCCCCTCTCACCCCGCTCCTGCACAGCAGGAATCATGGGAACTGTAGTCCTCCTCCTCTGGAATGCACCCAATGTCTGTGCCTCCTTGTCAGAAGTTACGCAAGCGGCAGCCCTCGTGGCCTCTCGCAAGGGGCCCCCTCCCGCCTCCCGTTTCTGGGCAGGCCCGCTGAGGGGGTCACAGGAGACCTCATCCCTGGTTGGCGGAGCCTTCGTCCTCTGTGCCGGCACCTTCTTCCTCGCCCTCCCCGATCGTTTTGCCGGCTGCCGCGGCTGTCGACACCGCTCTACTCCCGGGTTCAGAGAGCTCGGGCCGCCTGCCCCCCTGCACAGCGGCTGTTCGCGGTTGCGAAAAAACCTCCGTTCCTTAGTTCCCTCCTCCAGTCTGGTGCCCTCCAGGAGTGCAGGACCACAGCTCCCATCATCCCCAGCCACCTCAGACATTTGGGGAGAGCCGGGTTGGGAAGCGGGTCCCCGAAAGTCCGGTCAACGGGGCTGTTGCAACAGGGGCCCAGCAGGGGGGCGGCACTGCAGCATCCCTGGCCCCTGTTTCCCAAATTCACCCTGGCACAGCCACAGGCCCCAGGACCAACTCTGCCCCCCCCCCCCCAGTCCCTCTCCGGCCCTCTAGGATTTCCTGCAAGCCACCCCTCTTCTCCCTCTTCTGGGTCATTGAGGCCCCATCGGTGCGGGTGTTCAAGGATAGGCTGGACGTCCACATGGTGGGCATGTTGTGAGCGAAGCCGGCTGGAGCCGGGGGTCAGACTAGATGGCCCGGGAGGCCCCTTCTGACTCGCTCTGTTTCGATGTTTCCCCTGCCCACCAGTTGCTTGGTGCATTCCTGACTGTTGCCCCATTTTCCCCCGTTCCGAACGATGCTGCCTGGCCTGGGGAGGGGGCACTGGAGTCCACCTCTGTCACGCAGGGCACGCCCCGTTGGGCTGGCTCGGGTCCAGCACCTCCCGCGTGGCTCCTTCTGGGGACCGGGCCTGGCAGGCGAAGAACCTGGGCAGCAGCATCAGAACCAGGCCACCCACCACAAGGAAGGAGCCGGCTGCCAGGAACGAGGCGCTGAAGCTCCCGGTCATGTCCCGGATCCATCCTGAAACGAGCAAACCCGTCACGAGGAGCTTCCTCAGGAGGGACTCGAAGAAAGATAGGAAAAAGAAGGGTCCCTGCTTTCAAGGGTATCGGGACAAAACCACCCCCCTCGAGCTTTGAAGGGAAGCTAACAGGAGACCCGAGCATGTGCGGAGGGCCTGTTCTTACCTCGCTGCAGCTCTGTAGCCCTCCTGGCTACACGCACGTCCTTTTCCAGGCATCAGACCTGCCAAAGCAGCCCCTTCCCAACCCTATATAGGCAGGTCGCTGGGTTGAAAAACTCCAGCCCTGCTTTTGAATTCCATATGCACCGGATGCCACACAGGCCCAAGGCAGCGTCCTCCCAGAGGCCTCCCTTCCTCACCCGACATTGGGGGTCCCGCCAAGGCCCCGGTGCCTTCCAGCAGGTGAATGAGTCCAATGGCCCCCATGATCCGGCCCGTGCCCACGATTTCCACCAGGCTGGAGAACTTCAGTGGGATGACGGCGCTGGAGAGGAACCCATAGCAGGCGCTGATGGCCAGCAGCGCCCTGTAGCTGCCCCCCAGGGGCACCGCGAAGAGGGCGGCCCCCGTCAGGAGGGTCCAAATGGTGAGGTTGTGGGAGAGCCGGAGGGGGCCGCAGTCGGCCAGCCAGCCGGCCACGACGCGCCCCCCGATGTCCGCGACGCCCACCACGGAGACGAGGAACGCCGCTTGGTATTCGTCGAAGCCCGTCTCTCTGGCGTGGGGCACCAGGTGGGCAAAGGGGATGAAGTACCCCGTGGTGATCAGCAAGCCAGCCCCACTGAAGACCGCGAAGGGGCGCTGGCGGAGCAGGCCCAGCTCAAACAGCGAGGCCAGCCTCTTCCGTGGACTCGCCGGTTCGGGAGCCTCCCCCGGGCCGCTCTGGGCCACGTCCAGCGGGCGAAGGAGGGCGCCGCAGGGCACCAGGTGGAAAGCCATGCCAGCCAAGATGAGGAGGGCACCACGCCAGCCGTAGGTTTCGACCAGGAACTGGAAGAGCGGCGAGAAAGCCAGCGAAGAGATGCCCGCGCCGGAGAAGGCCAAGGAGTTGGCCAGGGCCCGGCGGCGGCTGAAATACTGCGCCAGCAAGGCCAGAGACGGGGAGAAGATGAGGGCCCCTCCAACACCTGGGGGGAAAACGGGCAGAGGGGTCACTTTCAAGTCCTCACTTCCCCAATCCTACGCTGGATTTGTTCCAGACTCCGAAAATTTTCCCAGCTGTTTCTCCTGGTATTGGAGAGTTTCTTTTAAATGTTTGCACGGGATTCTGTGCAGAAAATCTTCCAATGCTTTCATTTTGTAAGCTGTTTTCTTAAGTGCACTTTTGAAAATAAATTTCCTTAGCATTATTAACCTGAAGCACTCTACCTTAATGTTCTCATTTAATGCATTTTGCATCGATCAGCTTCAAGTGTACAGTTTGGAGAAGTGCAAAATTCAGAGGCTAACTAAGCTCTGGTTGCATGTCAGTTTGAAAGTGCAAAATTATGTAACTGTGTCTTCTAAATGCAGTCTAAATTAATTTCTCGCCCCATCCCCAGCTGAGGGCAGCACAGAAAACTTTAGTTATTTAAACAACTTATATGCAGAGTTGCAGAATAGGACGTTTGCCCTGCTGAACGTGAGCATCAAAATTTCAGCCTTAGAGATTCAGCATGATAGATTCCCAAGGGACAATACTAAGCCTGTGAGACAGAAGAAAAGGCCTACACTTCCCAGCATGCCCCATAAATCCTTAGCCCCCATAAATCTTTCAGTAAAGGAGCACTGCCTCCTGGGAAAGTGGACTGCCTCACCTGTGAGCAGACCAATGCACAGGTACAGCTGAGTTAGGCTGGTGGCGAACGAAGCCAAGAGGAATCCGGACCCCGAAAGGAAGCCCCCAAGGATGGCCATGGGCCGCTCTCCGTATCGTTTGCCCAGTGCGCTTGACAGTGGACCTGTAAGGCGGGGGGCAAAACGGCAGGAAGGGCGATCAGGACTCGACCGTCTCCAGCAGCGCTTGCAGGAGAATTTGTCAAAGGCTGAGCCAGCCACCGGGTGAAGGCCCGAGTTTTGTGGAACGCAAAGGCATCGCAGAACAAAACGTAAATTTACTAGGGTTGGACACAGAATTAGTCATTCTGAGGGAAGAGCCATTCAAATGGAGCCAAGTTCAAGGAGCCAAGGTTCAATTGGGATGCCAGGAAGAACCTCCTGACAGTCAGGACCCCCAGGGTGTGGAATGGGCTTCCCCGGGAGGTGGTTGAGGCCCCATCAGTGAGGGGGTTTAAGGACAGGCTGGACAGGGACATGGGGGGCATGTCATGGAGCCTGGGGTCAGACTAGATGGCCCAGGAGACCCCTTCTGACTTGCTCTGTTTCTACGTTTCTAAATCAATGGGTTACAGTTTGCGCACAATCCAAGACATGCAGAGATAGAAAAGTGGGACCAGTTGCAGAATGTTTTCTGCCCAGTCCATACCTAGGATTGTGTCTTGTGAATAATATACTTCACTGTAATCAACTCTGTATTCAACCCAGAGAGAAAATTCCCAAGCATCTCATGGTTTTTCCAGCCTCCCCCTCAAAATATAATTAAAAATGGGGTAAAATATTGAACTGATCGAGTGAATCAGGTGTGAGCCACAGTATTTCTCAGTGACCATGAATCACGCAAATATTAAAGGGATTAGTTACGTGATTTCATCTCTGGCCTTTAGACAACCAGATGCACAGCTAGCTAAACATGCGCCGACTGCCTTTCAGCCCCCTCTTTAGAACTCGGTTCTTCGGGCCTCCGCTTCCCGAATGCTTTTTCCGGTACTCACTGGCAAACATCAGCAAAGCCACGGTGACCGAGGTGATCCATGAGGTGGCGCTTGCCGGCTCCCCGAAATAATCCATAAACTCCACAAAGAAGACCCCGAAAGATCGGATCACCCCAAAGACCAGGGCCGACTGCAGGAAACATGCCAAGACAATCATCCACCCCCAGCCCCCATCAGGGGGCTCAGAATGCCCCTGCGGGATCATGCCTGGCCTCAGCGGGGCTGTTGCGCGAGGACCCCGGAGTAGGGCAGGCCTTGGCCGCTCCTTCTGCCCTGGCCAGCCAGAGCAGCCGCGGCCTCAGCGTCCGAAGAGGGGCATCCGTCTCCGGAAGAGGCTCGCTTCTCAGATGCAGAGTGGGACAGCCAAATGCGGTCGCACGAGCAGCGGCGTCCTCTCCCCGACTCCGCCGAGCCACTTTGACTCACAAACGTCGTGCGTCTCCACAGCTGAGTGTCCACGGCGAAGGAATGGAGACGATGTCAGCAGTGCGTCGTCATCGCACAACCTTTGACCAAAGTCTGCGGCAAGGTGCGCCTCACTCTCCTTACGCGACAGGCAGAATCGGCACACCTGCTGCTCACGGAAGCAGGTGTGGCTATTCCGCAGGCAGGGACCCTGGGCCCCTGGCTTGGGCCGCCACTCCAGGCGAGGGAATGGGAGGCCGCAAGCGCCGGACACGGCGACTTCTTTCCATGAGGCTGGCTCAGGACGACCTCCTTTGAAAGGACCCCATTTTGGGGGGCGGGAGAAGCGGAAGCTGCCACTGAGGTGGTCGGCTTCAGGCGCCAGAAGGTCCAAGGCGGCACCAGGGGAAGAAGGCCGGCCGGGAAGCAGGAACGTGCGGGGCAGAAGGCCCAAGTTCCCCCAGTGGTCAACCCACGGGCAGGGCGGGGGCTCAACAGCACCCCACAGCCCATGTTCCCCAGCAGGTGCTGCACGCGGGCCTGCTGCCACTGCTCCCAGAGCTGCCACGCAGAACTGGCAGACACCAAGCCCCTCATCCACGAGCACGTCCATCCCCCTCGAAGCCACCCGGAGCAGTGGCCCGCCCAGCTGGTCTTTATTCAGCACAGAGAGTATTTCGGCCTTCAGGGAATGCCGCGCCTTCCAAGACTGATCACTTCAGTGCTTTCCTGCCCTTCGGCATCTCCAGCTCGTTTGACCTCCTCTCCCAAAACCGCCCCCAGACACCTCTTCCGTCTTTCCCCGGCTCCCTGGCAGCATTAGGTGGAAGCGAGAAGTACAGTCAAGAGCCAGGTATCTCCGCGCCGCCTCCCAGTGGTTCCATGCCGAAAAGCACAGGGGCCAGGATGGGGCCTTGCAGGACCCCACGGGTCAGTGGCCCCCCAACGTCCCAGAGCCACGCTGGCACTGTGCCGCTTCTGCTGAACCCAGGTAAATGGACTGGAGGGGCAGCAGGACAAGCGTGTCAAATGGCAGAACCGGGGGGCACCCCCACTCCCATGTTCCACAGCACCCGTTATCCCCCCAGGTGACCAAAGTGGATTCTGTCCCAACACCAGGCCCGAAACCAGGGGGCTCCAAGGGGGCAGCCTCGCCCCCCACTGCCAAGCACCCGCTGGCTGGCGCCCATTCCAATCCCCCCCTCCCTCTGCTGACGCCCGGAGCGGCTTTGACGGACATTTTAAGTTTTTAATCTGTTCACAACTGTGAAAGAAAGGGCGTGCATCCATACATTTAAGGTGAGAAAGAACAGCGCAGAGCCGCAGTCGTGTCCCCCGAGTGCGCACACCACACAAGCACCTTTTGTTCTCCTTGGAAGGGAAACGGACGATGCCGAAGAGCCCAGCTGCCCCTCCGCACCACTGATTCTTGTGAGATTAAAGCGGCCTCCCCACCACTCAGCCTTTGTGTTTGGGGAACGTGTTGCCCCGACCCTTCCTGGGGCAGGACAGAACATCCGTTTGGGGGGTCACGTCACAATCTCACATCCAGAGAAAACAGAGCAGCTCACTCTCTGGGCAAACGGTTCCACTTCAGTTCCACCGGCCTCGTTAGGACAAAAGCACCAGGAAAAGAAAGTCGGTCCAGCAGTCCAGACGGAGACTTTGCTCGTGTTAAGTTCTGGCAGCAGGAAAAGCCTCCCCCCGCCTTCCCCCCCCTTCTTTCCACGGCCCCAGGAAGCGTTTCAGGCGAAGGGGGCTCCCCTGCTCGGCTGCTGGCACTGCCTAGCTGGTCACGGCCTTGTGCTGGTCCAGGCCCCGGTCTTGCTGCGGGGAGCCCCTGATTTCAGAGGACTCGAGGTCTGGCTGCCCCGCTGAGCTCGCCAACTTGGAGCCGGGCGGCCTGGCGCAGGAGAAGTAATTTGGCATGGTGAAAAGCAGCAGCGTGCCGGCCAGGAGGAGCAGCCCGGCCACAACGAAGGAGACGGCGTAACTCCCTGTGCGGTCTCTCAGCAGACCTGCAAGGAGAAGAGCCGGCTCAGCTTCGGCACGCCAAGGGCGACCACAGCCTTCCTCGTGCAGCCTCGCTCGCTCCGGAGGCTGGCTTCCACCCGGGAGGGCCTCCTTGGTGGCTCCCCCGGGGAATCTGGCTCCCCCTCTGGGGAAGGCCAGCCCACCCGAACTCGGAAGCTGGTCTTAAAGCCCTGGCAGGGTCACCAGAGAACACCCGTCCCGACGCCAGGCCACGCAGGGCTTTGCAGCAGCTGCGCCCAGAGGTGGTGGCCGGAGGGGCTTGCTGCAGCCCTGGACTAACCAGGCAGCCCGGCTTGCACATGGCCCCCGGAACGAGCCTGCAGCGCTGACCCAGGGCTGGAGGGGCCCCGGTTTCAGCCCCCAGGTGCCCCTCAGGGGGTGGCCATCTCCCGCAGCCTAGCCCACGAGACGGGGCCCGGGGAGAGGCGCGCACACGTCCCGGAAGCCCGTGTCCCGCGAGCCCTCGACCCGCCCGCGCCGCCCCGCAGGAGGGAGGGAGGGAGGGGGGGTAGGGAGGCAGCCAGCCCGTTACCTGACAGCGGGGTCCCCAGCAGGGCGCCCGCGCTCTCCAGCATGTGCATCAGGCCGATGGCGCGCAGCACGTGTCCGGCGCCCACGACCTCGGCCAGGCCGCTGTACTGGAGCGGGACGAGCGCGCCCGCCGCGAAGCCGTAGCCGGCGGCCAGCGCGCCCAGCGAGGCGGGGCCGCGGCCCAGGGGCAGCAGGGCCAGCGCGGCGCC